CCCTTTGTCTCTGAGTGGTTCTCTCTCCCAGAAAGTTGTCCTTCCTCTTGATTTCAATCTGCAAGGACCACTCAACTCAATAATATTTCTGAATTAAGTCTGGAAAGGGGACTCAATGGTGGTGGAAACATTTTCCGGAGGCAGCGCTGATGGAATCGTTCCAGGAGTTGCATGTGACATCTGTAGACAGTCCACATCTCACAGGCGTATAACAGGGTTGGGAGGACAATAGCTTTATAAACAAGCACCTTGGTATCCCTACGGATGTCCCGGTCCTCAAACACTCTCTGCTTCATTTGGAAAAGTGCTGCACTCGCAGAGCTCAGGCCGGTGTTGTATTTCAGTGTCAATGTTGACTTGTAGAGAGGTGGCTGTGAAGGTAGAAGGGTCAACGTTTTCTAATGTTACACTATTAAGCTGTATTTCTGGCATTGGAGAGGGATTGGCTGGTGACTGCTGGAAGAGCACTTGGGTTTTCTCTATGTTCAGTGACAGGCCGAGCTTCTCGTATGCTTCTGCAAAGGTGTTTAGAGTGGCTTGTAGGTCTTCTTCTGAATGCGCACAGACGACATTGTCATCAGCATATTGGAGTTCTATAACAGATGTTGTTGTGACCTTGGTCTATTTCTGCATTTGATTTATTAAAATATTCCCATCCAAACCCAAGTAACGAAGGTGGAGGAATTACGTTTCATTCAACCCTCGTAACTTTGGTGAGGTTTCCCATCTGCACCACTGAGAGACAAAGATGGAGACTGCCCTGTCCAATAAGTGGTTCTCTCTCCCAGAAAGTCATCCTTCCTCTTGATTTAAATCTGCAGGGAGCACTCAACCCAATAATATTTCTGAATTAAGTCTGGAATGGGGACTCAATGGTGGCGGAAACATTTTTCAGAGGTAGCGCTGATGGAATCATTCTAGGAATCGCACAGATGACATTGTCATCAGCATATTGGAGTTCTATAATGAGCTTCTCGTATGCTTCTGCGAAGGTGTTTAGAGTGGCTTGTAGGTCTTCTGAATGTGCACAGACGACATTGTCATCAGCATATTGGAGTTCTATAACGAACTTCTTGCATGCTTCTGTGAAGGTGTTTAGAGTGGCTTGTTGGTCTTCTTCTGAATGCGCACAGACGACATTGCCATCAGCATATTGGAGTTCTATAACAGATGTTGTTGTGACCTTGGTCTATTTCTACGTTTGATTTATTAAAATATCTCCATCCCATTGTCAGAGGGCAGCATGCACTGCAGTTGAGTTGAATTAGCAACCTCATGGGCCAATCCACCAAGCCTTGAATCTGCTGATCACCCCAAGCGGCCTGCTGAGGTTTGCATGAAGGGCTTTTGTGGCTTCCCGTGTTTGGAGAAGGGCCTCTCAAGGGGCATTGTTGAGGGCACCGCCTGCTGCCTTCACACACACAAAGCCTCCCTTGGTTCGCACAGAGGCATATTCAGAAATTCAACCGCAAGGCCCCGATTGTAATGTGCCCAAACCACTGGGAGATTTGAGGTCAGCAAAGCAGCTAAATCTAGCTGGATGTCTTGATATTGTGCAATCTGTGTCTTTAATCAGTTTGGGCCTGCAAAGGGAGGATCAGGGGCCAAAAAGAAGGTCCCGGGAATCCTAGAAATGTTCTGCTTACCCTAGCAAAGTGGCATGGCAAATGTCTCTATTCTCAATTAAGGTGAAAGGAATAGGGGAAGGTTTCTGCACCACAAAATGTACATATTTTTGTAGGTATTATGGGCTGGAGGGAGTCAGACAGGCAACCGCAAGAGACTCCATATTATTCAACATTTTTGTTTATCCGATGTTCTGTCGGACCATTTATGTTGGATAAGCAAAACTCTACTGTATTGAGATAGTTTTGCTTATCCAACATAAATGATCCGACAGAACATCGGATAAACGAAAATGTCGAATAATACGGAGTCTCTCCCTGTTGCCTGTCTGACTCCCTCCAGCCTCGTCCGCTCTCCCTCACCCACACGTTTGCAGTACGCCTGCTCTCACCTCCCTGCGTGGAAGAGTTGGGAGAGACCACATGGGATCATCTAGTCCAGTGGTTCTCAACCTTCCTAATACAGTTCCTCATGATGGTTCCCCAACCATAACATTATTTTTGTTGCTACTTCGTAAGTAATATTGCTACTGTTATGAATCGTAATGGAAATATCCAATAAGCAGGATGTATTTTTATTCACTGGACCAAATTTGGCACAAATACCTGACACGCCCAAATTTGAATACTGATGGGGGTTGATTGACCTTGACATATGTAGTTGCTGGGATTTATGGTACTCCTATAATTAAAGAGCGCTCTGAATGCCACCAATGATGAAATTGAACCAAACTTGGTACACAAAAGTCCCATGACCAAGAGAAAATACTAGAAGGGTTTGGTGGGCATTGACCTTGAGGTTTGGAGTTGTAGTTCACCTACATCCAGAGAGCACTTGTGACCCCCACCAATGATAGAATTGGGCCAAACTTCCCACATTCCCAATCTTCCCACATTGAGCGACCATGCCTTGAAGGGACTCATTGGCACAAGCCTCCCTCCAGCCTCGCATGCTCTTCCTCACCCGCGCATGTAATATAATATATTGTTATATTACAATATATTGTAATATATTATAATATTACTAATAATATTACAATATATAATGTAATGCAATATAATAAGACTAATAATAATATGATATTATAATTATATATTTATATTACATATAGTATTACTAATAATATTACCATATAATGGAATAGTACAATATAGTAATATTTAATACTGATATTGTACTATGCTAATGTAATGCAATATAAGACTAATAATAATGTGATATTATAATGATATATTTATATTACGTGTAATATTACTAATAATATTACCATATAATGGTATAGTACAATATAGTAATATTTAATACTATACTAATAATATAATACATTGTGTGTATCTATATCTTGTAAGCTTCTCTGAGTCCCCTTCGGAGGGTGAAAGGCGGGATATAAATGTTGTAAATAAATAAATAAATAATATTGTATTTACATATTACTTGTAAGCTGCTCTGAGTCTCCTTCAGGGTGAGAAGGGTGGCATAGAAACGTTGTAAATAAATAAATGTGCACCACGTTGCCATGCACTGAGCACGCCTGCTCTCCCCTCCCTGTTTGGAGTCTCAGAAACAGCCCTTGGCGGAGAGGCTGCCAATCACAGTAGAGAAGGGCTTTTGGTGGAAGGATTTCCAAAAAAGGATGGATGGTGGCCATTTCCAGCAGAAGAGCCCAAGATAGATCTCTTCAGAAGTTGTCCCATCTCCAGAAAGGCCTTCTCTTTTGTCACCCTCTCCTTTCCTCTCATTGAAAAACAAAGCCAAGGTGGGGCTTAGTTAGGAATGGGACTAGCCATGCAAGTTTCCAGACTGGTTTCGAGAGGTGTTGTGGTTAACCCGGCGCTGTGAGCACACACAATGCATTGATTTATTGCTCTCTGAACATGCGGAAGTTTCCGTTTAGGATCCAGACCCTTAATTAGTTGATTGAGCCATTAACCTCAGGAAGTGAAGCCCACCAAGTGATTCCCAACTACAAATCCCAGCGGGCTTACCTACCATTTTCTTGTTTATTCGTTCAGTCGCTTCCAGCTCTTTGTAACCTCATGGACTAGCCCATGCCAGAGCTCCTTGTCGGCCCAGCTCCTTCAAGGTCAAGCCAGTCACTTCAAGGATACCATCCATCCATTTCATGGACTCCACTTTGTGGCCTCATTTCTTAAGGTTGGCATCTCGTGGTGCCAGAGCGCAGCCTGTTCAGAGCCTTCCAGGTTGTCCACTCTTCTGTGCACCCAGGAGGGAGTTACTCATCCGGTCTCAGCCACTGATTGGGTTTAGACTGCCACTTCTGGACTCTTGCTTGCTGAGGTGTTCCTCTGTAGATCTTAGGAAGCTGTTTCTTAATTTAAGGCATTGGTGTACTGGCTGATATCCAAACAGAGGATGGGCCGAAGATGTCAATACCTTGGTCCTTTCATTGCCGACTGCTACTTTCCGGCGGATGTCAGGTGGTGCAGTACCAGTTAAACAGTATAATTTCTCCAGTGATGTGGGGTGTAGACATCCTGTGATAATGTGGCATGTCTCATTAAGAGCCACATCCACTATTTTAACGTGATGAGATGTTTTCCACACCGGGCATGCATATTCAGCAGCAGAGGAGCAAAGCGCAAGGGCAGATGTCTTCACTGTGTCTGGTTGTGATCCCCAGGTTGTGCCAGTCAGCATTTCTAGTACCCACTTTCTGATTGATAGTCAAGCAGTGCTTCTTGTCAGCCAGAGTGATTTCCAAGTATTTGGGTGTTCTGCAATGCTCCAGTGGGATTCCTTCCCAGGTCATCCTCAGAGCTCAAGATGCTTGTCTGTTCTTAAGATGGAAAGCACAAGTCTGCATTTCAGATGGATTAGGAATCAGCTGGTTTTCCCTTTAACAGGCAGTAAGCACACCTAAAGCTTTGGAGAGCGTCTGTTCAACCCTTTCAAACTCTCTGCTTGAGCGGTGATGGCACAATCGTCAGCATAGATGAAACCCTCTGTCTGTTCCGGCAGTGGCTGGTCATTTATGTAAACATGGATGGCTCAAGCACACTCCCCTGAGGCAGGCCGTTCTTCTGTTTCCGCCATCTGCTTCTCTGGCCCAGGAACTCAACAAAAAAGCTCCTGTTTTGTATCAGATTTCCTATGCAGCGGGTGAGGTGGTCATCCTTTGTGATATTATAGGTTTTTCTCAGGAGAAGGCGATGATTTGCAGTAATATAACCTTCTAACAAGTCTATGAAGACAGCTCCTGTAATCTGCTACCTTTCAAAACCATCTTCTATGTGCTGAGACAGGTTCAACACATGACACACACACATTTATATAAATGCAAATCAATAGAACTGTTAATTTTGATGGGAACTTGTTCACCTCAAGATGTCTTCTTCCTTTCCTTTCTCTTCCAGATGGGGTCGCGGCTTCGGCTTGCTGGGTTCCATTTTTGGAAAAGACAGTGCAATAAATCAGCCGAACAGCGTCTTCGGGCTTGTCTTTTACATACTACAAATGTTACTTGGTAAGTACCGCAAGATTTCCAGGGTCAGGGGAAATCTTGAATGAGCACTCCTCGTATACGTGGAGTGCTCATTCAAGAGGAGCATATGAGGAGTGCTCATTCAAGGTTTCCCCTGACCCTGGAAAAAGGGAAGGAAGAAAAGACAAAAGGGAAGGAAGGAAGGAGGGATGAAAGGGTGGAAGGGAAGGCAGGAAGGGAAGGAGGAAGGAAAAAGAGAAAGTAGGAGGGACAAAAGGGAGGAAGGGAAAGATGGAGGGAAGGAGAGGAAGGCCAGGCAGTTATTGTCCCTGTGGGTCAGGGTGGGGGGCAGCAACCACCTGGCCGCCTTCTCCTTCCCTCCAGGCATGTCGGCAAGTGTCGGTTGCCTTCTGCCTTCTAACACTTTAGTATGGAAAGTATGTGCTGTGTGCTTTGAGATCTCTCTCTACTTGTGTGTCAGGAGAGATGTCGTGATAGGTGATCTTTTCCTTTTCTTTGAACCTTAGAAGAGATGGGTGTTAGAGTAGTTCAGACCCAGTTAATTACCATGAAGATATGTAGTTATTATTCTTATCTATGGAAATAACCCTTGTGATTTTTTAAGGTTGGACTTTACATGTTTGCTGCCTAAACTCTAAATTCTTTGCAGCCACCTCGCACGGCACTTCACGCTCAGCTCACTAATGAGCTGAGTGCTCAACTTTTGTATCCTGTTTGTTTTTGGATGCTCTGCTTTATTTTAGGGTAGTTTTCCCTAACAAAACGGGTTATGGGCCCAGCACGCTTCCCTAACAGCCTTCAGCCTTAGTAACCCCTTAGCCGGACCCCAATCATACAATTTCATTCAATCCATTCATCGCACAGCCGTTCGGGGCCAACAGCAGAGACAGGGGGCAGTAACCGCCTTGACTTCCTCTCCTTCCTTCCATGTATGACAGCGAGTGCGGTGGTGGCACTTGTCCTTATGATGTCCTCCATTGTCTCCGTCATAGGATCTTTGTGCCTGCCTACATTTTGTACTTTGAATGCTTTGAATGCTGAATGCTTAATTTTTGTATCTTGTTTGTTTTTGGATGCTCTGCTTCCATAACCAATTTTTGTATCTTGTTTGTTTTTAAATGCTCTGCTTCCAAAACCATTTTTTTGTATCGTTAGTTTTTGGATGCTCTGCTTCCAAAACCAATTTTGGTATCTTGTTTGTTTTTGGATGCTCTGCTTCCAAAACCAATTTTGGTATCTTGTTTGTTTTTGGATGCTCTGCTTCCATAACCAGCAAAAAAGGGTTATGGGCCCAGCACACTTCCGCCGTGCTTCCGCTTCACTTCCTTAACAGTCTTCAACCTTGCCAGACCTTAATAGGTCCTTAGCTTAATAGGTCCCAATCATAGTTTCATTCAATCCATTCATCGCACAGCCGTAGTGGGCCGACAGCAGAGACAGGGGGCAGTAACCGTCTTGACTTCCTCTCCTTCCTTCCAGGTATGATGGCGAGTCCGGTAGCGGCACTGGTCCTGATTACGTCCTCTATCGTCTCTGTCATAGGATCCTTGTGCCTGGCCTATATCTTGTACTTTGAATGCTTAAGTTTTGTATCTTGTTTGTTTTTGGATGCTCTGCTTTGTTTTAGGGTAGTTTTCCCCCGCAAAAAGGGTTATGGGCCCAGCCGTTGTGCTTCCCTAACAGTCTTCAGCCTTGCCAGACCTTAACAGGCCCTTAGACGGACCCCTGTCATACAATTCCATTCATTCCATTCATCATGCAGCCGTTCTGGGCTGACAGCAGAGACGAGGGGCAGTAACCGCCTTGCCTTCCTCTCCTTCCTTCCAGGTATGACGGCGAGTGCGGTGGCGGCACTGGTCCTGATGACGTCTTCCATCGTCTCCGTCATAGGATCCTTGTACCTGGCCTACATTCTGTACTTTGTGCTGAGGGAGTTCTGCATCGTCTGCGTCCTCACCTACCTGCTGAACTTCCTCCTCCTTATCGTCAACTACAAACGACTAGTTTACTTGAACGAGGCGTGGAAGCGGCAGCTCCCGCCCAAGCAGGACTGAGACCCTGGGGAGCTTCTTGACTGACGGCCCGAAGGACCCAGCATCCGTGTGACTTCTTTCCACCCTCAAAGGAAATTTAATTATTATTATTTCTTCATATCGGGATGCATTTCCCCCTCCCCTTCCTTGAGATCCGTTAAGATGACAAAGAACCAGCGGCCCTTTTGATAACTCCGGGGAAGTCGAGGCCAAGCTGTAACTCTGCCGCAAAGGGATTCCAAGCTGCAAACTCTCCATCCTTGCCCTGTTTTTCCTCCCGAGGTTTTGAGCTCACTGACTCTGGTTTGGGGTATGTAAATGTGGTTTTGGGTTCAGGGAGGGCCGCTGCGCGCCCAGGGATCGTGGTCACTGTGCTAGACTTTATAGGTGCCGTTACGGAACCCTCGCCCTGTGTTTACATTGTGTGTATGTGTAGCCGCGGGATCCGGATTTTCCCCTCATAGACTCGGATGCTCATCCCGCCGAGAAGGGGACACAGCCTCCGCAAATTGTGTGGCTCCTTGAGCAACTTGAAGAAGAAGCAGCAGCAGCTTCTCCTCGGGAGACTTCGTCATTGTTGTTGTTCAAGGAATTTATTTTAAAACAATGCAAAATGAGCCTGTTTTCTCCGGGAAGCCGGATACGGAATTGACTAGCGGAGGTTCCTTTCTGAACCAGAAAACAGGCCACAGGACTCTTCTATGTGCACGGAGGTCGGTCTGATGGTTTGGTCCGGTTTCGGGCAGGATTGCATGCCATTCCGTTCTGGGAAATTGTACAGGGGCGGGTTTCGAGGGATAGGAACCCAAGCAACTGCAGTCCGAATCTTGTTTTCAGGAGCCAAGTCCCTCGCAGTCCATTGGTGTCCTCCGCCGGGATGGTTGGATAGAACGACGACTATACACTGGAACCCAGAAGCCTGCTGGCCAAGCAATAGGCAGGAGAACCCTGGCCCCATTGTACGGCTTTTGCATGAATCCCCCCAATTAAGGCGGGACCCTTTCCCCTTCGTTTTGGCATGAAGGCTTGCAGGAAGGACACTGCCGCAGATGATGCCTGTAGAGGTGGAGCAGTTGGGGGGTCTCTCCTGCAGGCGGTGGGGTGAAATGGGGAAAAGTGGGTGCCCTTCCTCCCTCCCTCATTTCCTTCTTTCTTTCTTCCTCCCTTCGCCTTCCTTCCTCTCTCCCTTCCTTCCTCCTTCACTCTCTCCCTTCCTCACTCTCTCCCTTCCTTCCTTCTTCCCCTTCCTTTCTTCCTTCCTCTTCCCTTCTCTTCCTTCCTTCCTCTTCCTTCCTCCCTGCCTTCCTTCCTTCCTCTCCCTGCCTTCCTTCATCTTACTTCCTTCCTCCCCCTTCCTTTTTCTTTCTTCCTTCATTCTTTCCTCCCTCCCCCCTCCTTCCTGCCTTCCTCTCTCCCTCTCCTTCTCCCTTCTTACTTTCTCCCTTCCCTCTGTCTTCATTCCTTTTTTTTCTTTTTCTTACTTTCTCCCTCCCTCCCCTCCTTCTTTCTTTTCTCTCCTTCCTTCTCTTCTTTCCTTCCTCCTTCTCTCTCCTTTCCTTCTCCTTCTTTCCTTTCCTTCTTCTCTTCTTCCTTCCTCCTCTCCCTCCCATTCTTCCCCCTTTTCTCCTTCCTTTTCCTCTTCTTCCTTCCTTCCTCCTTCCTTCCTCCTTCCTTCTTCCTTCCTTCCTCTCCTTTTCCTTCCTGCCTCTTTCTTTACTTCATCCCTTCCTCCCTCCCTCTTTCCCTTCCTTCCTTACTTTCTTTCTTCTCCCCCCCTTTCTCTTTTTCTCCCTGCCACCAAAATGTTGTTTGGGTTTGTCCCCATTTCCCCTCCCAAAAAAGCCCCTCCAGCATTCTTGAGCAAATGGCAGATCACTGTGTTGTTTCTTCTCTTTCCTCCAGTTTTTCATTCCTCCTCCTCCTCCTCCTCCTCCTCCTCCTCGTCTTCCTCCTCCAGTGTTTTGGGGTTTGTATTTTCGTTTTAAAGAAGTGCCTTCTGTCTTAACAAACCAAATAGCGGGTTGGTGATTGGAATTGGCAAGCAGAAGAGTCCTTGGGCGCGGGAAGCAAACCGAGATGCTGGAAGGGCGGTCCATCGATCCAGTGTGACCCCATGCAGTCCAAGAGAGGGACCCCAACCTGCCTTTCCCCCATTACAATACCTAAATGGCTTCTGTCCGTCACTTGTATTATAGGGCAGGGAGGACAACCACAGCTTTGGGTCTGTTATCTTGAAAAGAGGATAGGAAATGGCTTGCAGCAGCCATCGAAGATAGAGAACTACTTCCCTTTGGCGTTGCAATCGTTTTTATCCAAGGTTTCAGGGTGATGTATCATTGCCATCTCAGTATCCCTATCTCTGCATGGGAGAACCAAACATCGTCGGTTTGCTCTTGAATGTATCTCGCCGACACACGCAACCCCGTCCCTATCCCCAATGCCAAAACGATTGCTCTCCACGTCATGGGTGCTGGGCTTTTCCTTTTGCCTTCGTCTTGAACAGGACTTCCTTTCCCCCCTTTCCAACTACGTCTTTCCCTTGTGAGTCTTATGTGAAAGATCCTCATTTCGTTTCGTCCTTTCGAGAGATTGTCACAGAGGTGTTCCCAGGACTCTCTTCGTGTTTGCAAAAAATGTGATTATCTTTTGCCCTTGCAGTATTTTGCCTGCCAAAATGAGAGAGCGGAGGAGGAGGAAAACTTGTATTGCAAGTCCGGTTCAATTTTTAAAAAAAACATATATAATATACATCTATGTATAAAAAGCAGCCCCTAAACCGTACGTGTCGTCTCTGTCTGAAGATTTCTCCTCTTGTGTTGACATAGTGCGCGGTTGTGAAGCTTGCCATTAGGAAGCCCGCGAGTGTTGTCCTCACCCTGCAAATAAGCGTCTTTCCGTTTAAAAAAATGCAAATACAGTAGAGTCTTGCTTATCCAACCTTCGCTTATCTGACATTCCGTCTTATGCGACACCTCTCTTTTCCTCTAGCATTTCCCCTTCAATTAAAGGAGCGCTCCCCAACTCTCTCTCCATTCCCAATCGAGTCTCACTGATCCGACCTTCGCTTATACGACATTCCCTCTTATCCGACGCCCTCCTTTTCTTCTAGTATTTTCCTTTCAATCAAAGGAGCGCTCCCCAACTCTCTCCATTCCCAAAAATGCAAGACGAGGAGGAGGAGGGAGGAAAAGAGGCAGGACCGGAAGCGGACCTGCCTCTACATCCTCTTCCATATCTGGGCACTTCCTGCTGGGCCTGTCTAACCCTGAGGCATTGCCTTGCCTTAGCCTTTTGACTCCCTGTTGTTAGTGGAGTCTTACTTGGCATAAACAGTCAGGAAAAATGTTGGATAAAAGAAAATGTTCTGGGCCGACAGCGGAGATGGTTGGTAGTAACCACCTTGCCTTCCTCTCCTTCCTTCCAGGTATGACAGTGAGTGCGGTGGCGGCACTGGTCCCTATGACATCCTCCATTGTCTCCGTCATAGGATCCTTGTGCTTGGCCTACATTTTGTACTTTGAATGCTGAATGCTTAAGTTTTGTATCTTGTTTGCTTTTGGATGCTCTGCTTTATTTTAGGGTAGTTTTCCCCAGCAAAAAGGGTTATGGGTCCAGCATGCAGAACGTTGGATAAACAAAAATGTCAGATAATACGGATTCTCCTACTTTGACCTGTCCAACGCGGTGCTAGACACCTAGACTACTAGAATAGGAAGTGCTCCTTTAATTGACAGGGAAATGCTGGAGGAAAGGGCGACATCGGGTAAGACGGAATGTCGGATAAGTGAAGGTCGGATAAGTGAGACTCTATTCTAGTTCTATAGTGCCATGTCTGATGGGTAACAGTAGGAGACTCTATAGTATCAGACATTTTCGTTTATCCAACATTCTTCTGGCCTATGTTGGATAAACGAGACTGTAATGGGGAAAATGGCGTCTCTTTGCTTTGTTGTGATGAACTTGAATCTCCATCTCAACTAATATTCCCATGGAACAAGAAAGAGATTGTGTTATGTTCTTGCGCCTCTTTTCCATTTCTTGAGGATTAGATTTCCCCCTTGAAATTCCTTCTTGGAGGGCCTTGGGGAGGCTTCCTCACACCCCTTATTTTGGACTACAGCATATCCAAAAATATTCAGGCAATAGAAGCTCAGGTTGTTGAATGATGCCAAGGGTTAGCTTGGTTCTCTCTTATCTAAGACAGAAGAGATCCATCGGGTTGACAACAACAATATTTATTACGGTCCATAGACCCATCAGTAAAACCAACAGTCATAAATTCTCCCCATTCGGTTTCCTGTATTTTGATAGTTTGGGGGACGAATTTGCAACTGTTATTTTGAAGATATTGGGAGTATTGAAAGTGGAAAGCTGCGATTTCCACGCTTCTCTTCCACATCTGGGTATTTCCATTTCCCCGCTAGGTTTCCTATATTTCAGTAGTTTGGGGGACACATTTGCACTCGTTATTTTGGAGATATTGGGAGTATCAAAAGTGGAAAGTGTTAGGAGCATTATTGGACGATCTAATCCCCCAAAATGGGTTGGAAAATCGTTCAAAATAGGCATTGATCTAAAAGATTTCCCCTCCCAGGTTAGGTCTGTGGCTTCTGATGCATATGTACAAAACTGGGAGCCGGAACTAAAACTGGGTTGTTTTCTGGACTGTCTGGCAATGTTCCAGAAGAATTCTCTCCTTACATTACACCCACATCCATGGCAGGCATCTTCGGAGGTTGAGGGCTCCTCTGAGGATGCCTGCCATAAATGTGGGTGAAACGTCAGGAGAGAATGCTTCTGGAACATGGCCATACATCCCAGAAAACTCACAACAATCCAGTGATTCCGGCCATGAAAACCTTCAACAACACATATGACGGTGAAATAAAAAGTAATGCCTCCACTTTCGTAACTCCTCAACAGATGGCAGTACTGGTATGCGTCAGGCACTGGCTTGTTCAGTAGACTCTCCTCTACAGTTCCATTTTGGTGGGGAGCCTTAGCATTGAAAGGTTGTGTTTTCAAAGTGTTGTTAAAGTGCGAACCCTGTGCAGACGGCTAGTCAATGTGACTTAAGCAACGTGCAGTCACTGAATTCTTGACGGCAGAAGGTGTCACCTTAACATCTTTAAACTTACTCTCCTAACGATGCACAGTACTCATATCAACACAATCACCATAAACAGCTTGCATTCTCTGATGAATCTCCTTTGGGTGACACCTTCTGCTGTCAAGAATTCAATGACTGCATGTTGCTTAAGTCGCATTGACGGACCATCTGCTCGGTTCCATACTTTGCACTTTAACAACACAACTGTTCAATGCTAAGGCTTCCCACCAAAATGGAACTGTAGAGGAGAGTCTACTGAACAAGCTAGTACCTGCCACATACCAGTACTGCCATCTGTTGAGGAGTTACGAAGGTGGAGGCATTACTTTTCATTCAACCCTCAGAACTACAGTAGAGTCTCACTTATCCGACCTTCACTTATCCGACATTCTGTGTTACCGACACCTCCCTTTTCCTCCAGCATTTCCCCTTCAATTAAAGGAGCGCATTTCCCCAACTCTCTCCATTCCCAAGATGTGAAAAAGGCAAGATGAGGAGGAGGAAAGGGGGGAAAGAGGCATGATTGGAAGCGGAAGCATCTTCCCTCCTTCCCTCTGTGATTTTCACACTCCTCTTCTGCATCCGGGCACTTCCTGCTGGACCTCTCTGGCCCCGGAGTGTTGCCTTGCCTTAACTCTTTGAATCCTTTTTGTTAGTATTCTAGGTTTCTGGCGCCACGTCAGACGGGTAACAGTCGGAGACGCCATATTATCCGACATTCTGCCAGCCTGTTTATGTCGGATAAGCGAGACTCTACTATGGAAGTATTAGTCCAAACGAAAGTGCGAAGTCAGCAAAGTATTTGATTACCATGAAAACCAAACCTGTATTAAGCATGGTCTTGAAGTATTTGGTGTGTATTCCGTCTTGTGTGTCCCGACCTGACCAAAACAAAGCAGAGAAATGTTGAGGGTTTCGTTTTTCCTCCCCCCGTTTTACGTTCTCCAGATTGGGAATCATTCCATTTCTCTTTCTTTTTTAAACATTCTGACCATAATATTCTGACATTCGGAGACCTCGGCAATCCCGTTTGGCGGAAGGGAGTTTCAGAAACCGGAAACAAAAACAATGTACATAATGTAAGAATGTTTATTTGTTGCACATAAAAAGTTTCTTTTTTTTCCTTTTGGTATAAAAATAAATGTAGAAATTACCCATGGACGTCTTTGGCTGTTTGCTTTGTAACTTGAGCATCCTCGATTTCCGGACTTTTACTATCGCGGAAACTAGAACCGATCCACAATATTAAACGGCTTTAGACATGAAATGTTTAGGAATGCCTTCATGACTCTCCAAAGTGGCCAGATGTCCATCAAATAAAGATGGAAGCTGGTCTCCAAAGTACTTCAATAATTAATACGTCTCCCCTTTTATGATACTGTTGTATGTGAAGCATTGCCTCCATGTTTTGGAGCTGTTTGGACCAATATAGACCTTGCAGAACAGTGTTTCTCAACCTGGAGGGGTCGCGAGGGGGTTTCAGAGGGGTCACCAAAGACCAGTAGAAAACATATTTCTGATGGTCTTGGGAACCCGTTTGGCAGAGAAGGCTGAAGATCTCTCCGCCTGTCCTCCTCTTCCTTTTTCGAAATGGATGGTGAATCCTCCCAACAAAAGCCCTCATCTGCTGTGACTGGCCGGACTTTCAGCCAAGGGGAGGGCTATTTCTGAGACTCCAAGCGGGGAGGGGACAGCAGGCGTGCTCAGCACATGGCAGCGTGGTGCACATGTGGGTGAGGGAGAGCGTGCAAGGCTGGAAGGAGGCCACAAGTGAGTCCTTTCAAGGTAAGGGGTTTTTGAAGCCCTTTAGAGCAATATAGACCCTGTAGGACAGTGTTTCTAAATCTGGGGGTCATGAAGGGGTTTCAGAAGGGTTGCCAAAGACCATCAGAAAGCATATACATTAAAGTGCCACTTATATGACTTTCGCTTATCCGACATTCTGTCTTATCCGACACCCCCCTTTTCCCCATCGTGGTCCCTGTGAATCGCACATATGGTATTTCCTGCGCTTGCGCAGACAGTTTGGAATCTTCTAGAAAACTTACTAGACACTTTTAGGTGGTAGCCCCGCACACTCTCCCCTTGAGAGTCTGTATAGCCAGTGGGAGGGGTACTGCCTCCGATCCTTTTCCTCCAGCATTTCCCCTTCAATTAAAGGAGTGCTCCCCAACTTTCTCTCCATTCCCAGTAAGTGAAAAAGGCAAGACAAGGTGGAAGGAGGAAAAGAGGCAGGACCAGAAGCGGAAGCGTCCTCCCTCTGTGATTTCCACACTCCTCTTCCGCATCCAGGCACTTTCTGCTGGGCCGCTCTAGCCCTGCGGCCTTGCCTGGCCTTAATTCTTTGAGTCCCTTTTGTTAGTATTGTAGGTGCCTAGCGCCGTGTCAGACGGGTAACAGTCGGAGACTCCGTATTATCCGACATCCGACGTTATGCTGGCCTGTTTATGTCGGATAAGCGAGACTCTACTGTATATTGCATGACTGTCTTATAAGCAGTTCGTTTAACCTCCGGGTTGCAAGTAAAACCAAAGTGTCATGTGGTGAAAGGTGGTTGGACTCAAAAGTGTGTCAACAACACGAAACGTTTGGGGAGCTTTGCACGAAAGGAAAAGTGCAGGAGGGGATGGCTCGGAAATGGTCACAGAACGAGACCCTGGGGAAAGGTGGCCGATAAGGCTGAACTGGATCACCCCTTGGTCATGGTTGTAGGCGGCGTTGGAGACGTTGGTGATGGGGTCCAGGGATTTCATGTGGAGATCAAACTTGGCACACAGAACTCCAATGACAAAGAGAAAATACTGGGTGGGTTTGGTGGGCACTGATCTTGATTTTAGGACTTGTAGTTCACTTACATCCAGAGAGCACTGTGGACTCAAACAATGATGGATCTGGACCAAACTTGGCACAAATACTCAATATGCTCAAATGTGAACACTATTGAAGTTTGGGGAAAATAGACCTTGACATTAGAGAGTTGTAGTTGCTGGGATTTATAGTTTACCTACCATCAAAAAGCATTCTGAATTCCACCAACAATAGAATTGGGCCAAACCTCCCACACAGAACCCCTCTGCTTTGAAGGGACTTGCTGCAGTGTGCCTCCCTTCACCCTAGCATGCTCTCCCTCTCCCACACATGCACACCATGGAGTTTGGGGGAAATAGACCTTGAGGTTTTGGAGTTGTAATTGCTGGGATTTGTAGTTCACCTAGAAATCTGAACCCCAGCAACAATAGAATTGGGGAAAACATCCCACACAAACCCCCCATGCCTTGAAGGGACTCGCTGGCATGAGCCTCCCTCCAGCCTCGCATGCTCTCCCTTGCCCCACACATGCACACCATGCTTCTATGTGCTGAGCACGCCTGCTCTCCCCTCCCTGTTTGGAGTCTCAGAAACAGCCCTCCCTTTGGCTGAGAGGCCAACCAATCACAGCAGAGGAGAGTTTTTGGTGGGAGGATTCACCGTCTGTTTCCAAAAAGGAAGAGAAGGGCAGGCGGAGAGATCTTCAGCCTTCACTGCCAAATGGGTTCTAAGACCATTGGAAATAGATGTTTTCCTGTCGTAGTCAACTATGAATTGCACACATGGTATTCCTGCGCCTGTGCAGTACAGCTTCGGAACCTTCTAGAACTAGTGCAAATTCATAGGTGACTACTCAGGAAACTACAGTTACAGGTAAGCAACTTATAATTTCTGATAGTCTTTGGCAACCCCTCTGAAACCCCCTTTGAGAAACTTTGAGAAACTCTGATCTGAAAGGATAGACATGCCTATGACTAAGACAGACTATGGGAAGCCCCTTAGCTTCCAACACCAGGCCTTTCATACTCAAGTTCATTCCTGAAAACTGTTGATCCATTCCGGGTTTCAAAGAAACTCTCCAAAGTGCTGAAACTATTTTTAAAGCGCCTTGAAAACCCACCCAAACCTTGGCATGGATTCACTGCCCCATTGACATGGAAACTGCCCGTCTTGTGCGTCTGAGCCTGCAAAACACTCCCTGATTGTACTCTTTGAGTAGTCCTTCTCTTACGTAACATATGTGCAGCATTCTCAACAAGGAGTTTGTCAAAACCGCCTGAATTCTGGAGCGAACGGCACACAGACGTCATCGTATTTGGGCGACCCAAGGCATGAAGATTCGTTGGCCAACTTCCAGTATCTCTCCTTCAGCAGGAAAGCGGCCGCTTTGGGTTGACGCTGGCGGGTGAAAATCCCTTTCTTGTTGCCCAAAACACGGGTCGTCTCTGTTTAAAACAGTTCGAAACAGAGAAAAGGCTGTCATTCAGTGCCACTCTCATCCTAAAACACTGACTGAACGGAACATGTTACAGAACTTTGTGAATGTTTTTCAACCCAGTCTTTCAACTGTCCGACAACAGAGATACAGTGTTCCCTCGCTACTTCGCGGTTTGATTTAGCAGACTCACTGTTTCGCGGTTTTCAAAAAATGAGAGCCCCCCCCCCTCCAGCACCAACCGCTGCTCTGAGATCAGAGTGAAGAGAGGGGCCAGGAAGGCAGTTCCATCTTGTCTCCTGCACTGTGCTTATATATAATATAATATAATATAATATAATATAATATAATATAATATAATATAATATAATATAATATAATATAATATAATATAATAATATAATATAATATAATATATATACATATAATATTGATAATATAATGTAATAAAATATAATACTAATAATATGATTTTTTTGTCATGTCAGGAGCGACTTGAGAAATAATATGATATAATTATATATTTTATATTAAATGTAACATTACTAATAATATTACAGTACAATGTTATAGTACAATGTAATATATAATATTAATATTCTGCTATGGTAATAATATAATATATTGTATTTACTTTTTACTTGTAAGCCGCTCTGAGTCCCCTTCGGGGTGAGAAGGGCGGCATATAAATGTCGCGAATAAATAAATAAATAGTTTTCAATTTGATGCGACCCTAACCTTGGTCCGTCATGAAGTCGGCAAAGTTCCAAATGAGTTCTCCGATGACATATTCCTTCCTCTTTTGGTCCAGGACGGAATGGTATTCCTTCAGCACGGCAGCCTGGTACTCCTCGGAGAACATGAGAGGAGGGTCCTGCGGAGGGAAAAGAAGGGCAACTTCACAAACAGAGCCACAAAATTAGAAACTATTCCTAAGATCCCTTGATCTCGCCCTCTCCCTTTTTGCAATCTGCTCGGACTTACAGCATGGAGGCCCGCAACAGCATCCGCCCCGTATTCACTCTGGATGATGGGCTTCTGGTAGGCTTTATACCAGTTCTCAAACTGGGAGTTAAGCTGCGGCCGGATGACCTCCAAGTGACCGGGGTCGTGGTACCAAGAGAAGTAGCTGTTCACGCAGATGACGTCCACATATGGCGCCTGCCAACGGGCAAGAAAAGCAGTTCTTTCCATCTTAATGGGGAGTTCACCACATTTATATTAATAACTAGCTGTACCCTGCCACGCATTAATGTGGCCCTCAAATAAGAGAGGAATTCCAGCTGAAGCAATAGACAGAAGGGACAGATGGAAGGGACACTGATAGATGGAACAGAAGGTAGATGGAGAGAACATAGATAGGTTGGTAGGTAGATAGATATGTAGATGGAGTGATTGATGGATTGAAGAATGGATGGACATGCAGATAGGCAAAGGGAGTTGGACTGGATGGCTTTTGGGACTCCCTTCCAACTGGTTGACCATCTGTCGGGAGGGCTTTGATGGTGCCTTCCTTTACTATAAAATGAGGTTGGACTGGATGGCCTTTGGGGCCCCTTCCTATACCGTGCGTGGCATCAAAGGGCCCCTTCCCCGGCGATCCCCCTTCCTCCCTCCCCGGCCTCCCTCCTAGCCACTCGTTGCTGTGGCCTAGCTTGGTGATATGGAAAATATTTGAAAAGTAAACAACTAAATACTTTTTAAATTAAAATACTAACAGTAAAATATTTTAAAGTTAATTAAGTATTTTTAGATTTAAATTTTGTAAAGGTAAACAATTTAATATTTTAAAATTAAAACATTAAAGTTAAATAATTTAAAATTAAATAATTATTTTAAAAACAAATTATTAAGTAATTAAATATTTCATAATTAAACCAAATAAAATACATTAAAATAAAGTATTATGAAATGTAAATATTAAATATGTATAAATTATAATATTAAAATTAAAGGAATAATATTAAAATTAAACAATTTTATATTTTAAATTTGAAATATTAAAATAAAATAATGTAATGTAAATAATAATTTTTAAAATCAAAATATGTAAATGAAATATTTTAGAACTAAAGAATTAAATATTTTATAATGAAAATATTAAAATATGTTATAATACTATAATAGTAATTCTATCTTTCTTCCTAACAGAAAGGGGGTTGGACCAGATGGCCCTTGGGGGTCTTTTCTAACTAGTTGCATAATAATAATAATAATAATAATAATAATAATAATAATGTAGATAATAATAAAATAAGAATTCAATCTTTTTTCCTGGCAGAAGGGGGTTGGACTGGATTGGTAAAAGTGGAAGTGGTCACAGAACGAGACCACAGGAAAAGGTGGCCAAAAGGCTGAACCAGCTCACCCCTTGGTCGCGGTTGTAGGGAGCGTTGGAGACGTAGGTGACGGGGCGAGTGGGGTCCAGGGATTTCGTGTGGGAGATCACAGACCTGTGCAGGGATCCAAGGGGTTGCAATTAATTCAAAGGGGAACCCCGGCTTGACCCAAGCAGTTTCAAGGCATTGCCTTGCCTTAACCCTTTGAGTCCTTCTTGTTAGTATTCTAGGTTTCTAGCACCACATCGGACAGGTAATAGTAGGAGAGTCCGTATTATCCGACATTTTTGTTTATCCGACGTTCTGCCAGCTCGTTTATGTCAGATAAGCGAGACTCTAATAATAATAATAATAATAATAATAATAATAATAATAATAATAATAATTGTCTGCTGTGGGACTCATCTTGTTGTGTTTCAAATAATAATAATAATAATAATAATAAGCAAGACTCTAATAATAATAATAATAATAGTCTGCTGTGAACTCATCTTGTTGTGTTTCAAATAGAGTTGTTCTGGAACAGCTGTTCCAGGAGCTCCAGATTTATTTGCTGTGTTTAAATGTTTGTGTGCAATCCCATGCTTGGGATTTTGCAGCAGGGGGTTTCCTGTTATAATTTGCATTTATAGGGTAAGCCACCTGCCAGTTATAGTTAGGATCCCTGGTCCCGCCCCCTTTTTGCCTTTTGGAGGGAAGGGGCCTATTTTCAGTCACACAAGGAAGCCAGTCTATAGGACGCAGATCAGCTAGTCCCGTAGGAAAGGCTTCATTCCTCAAAACCTTCCGGGGAAATAGAAATAGCCATCCGGGGATCATCCAAAGGTGATCCTGGGTCCATCCAGCGACCATCCAGGGGTCATCCAGTGACCATCCAGTTCCAGGGAAACAGAAGGAAAAGGTCCCAAAGGCTCTGGCTGAGAGCTCACAGCCTCTCAGCCTCACAGCACCAGAGGGGAAAACAGCCCTGAAGTTTGAAGTTTCCACAGGACATCACTGCAGAACCACAGAATTCCAGCTAAACATCTTCTAGCTTCGTCTGGTAGGTTACTCGGTTTCCAGACGCATTTGGGGATCGGCAGTATTACCCAGACCAGCGAGGCCTAGATGATGGACGGCCTGGGAGGGATTATAAAGAGTTCTTCCTTATGAGATAGTACAGTCAAACCAAGTTAGTGCCAGTCTCTTAAAGATTTGAATAGTAAAGCCGTGAAGTTTTGTTTGAAGATTTGTTCCTTAATAAAGACTTTGTTGTACTTTTAAAGACTCTAAGGCCCATTACTTTTGGAAGTCTCTAACAATCTCTCTTCGGGCACCCCGGCTTCCCACTGGGTTTAAAGTGTGCGTTCTATAGAATAAAGACATTTTGTTTGGACCCAGTGGCGACAGAACAGTAATAATAATAATAATATGGTTAAGCGAGACTCAAATAATAATAATAATTGGCTGCTGTGGACTCATCTTGTTGTGTTTTAAATAATAATAATAATAGTAATAATAATAATACGGTAACTATCTTCCTGAGTGACAGAAGGGGGTTGGACTGGATGGCTCCTTGGGGCCTCTTCCAAATCTATGATTCCGTGATATGGATTTCCAACAGAGGCTGCATGGCCATCTGTTGGGAGGCCTTCCTTTCATGGGGTTTGAACCAGAAGGCCCTGGGATCTCTTCCAGCTCTAGGATGGAGTGATCCAAACTCCGAAAAGCAAGAATCATGATTCGGATGCTGAACTAACTCCCTTTTTCCCAACTAAAACTCACTTGAAGTAATATCCGGCCGGGGCCAGCTCCGAGGCCGGCTCGTTGGCCACCGACCACATCACGACCGAGGGCCGGTTCTTGTCCCGCCGGACCAGCTCCTCCATCACGGTCAGGTGGTGCTGCAGAGTCCGGTTCCCAAAATTGGCACTGGGAAAGAGGAAGAGGGATAGCGCATTTTCCCCAAATGTTTCCCGTGATACAATTTGCGTGATACCCCTCTCCTTGAGCCATAGCCATCTGTCTCTATTCTATTACACTAATAGTAGTCATAACAGTGATGATATACAATGGTATTATTTTATATTTTATTATAATATTACAATATAATGGTATAGTACAATATAATAGTAAATAATACTGATATTGTACTATGCTAATAATATAATATATTATGTATATATATCTTGTAAGCCACTCTGAGTCCCCTTCGGGGTGAGAAGGGTGGCATATAAATGTTGTAAATGAAGAAATAAATAAATATTATTCCTATAGTAATAATAATAATTGATGGGCTGCCCTATCTGCCCGAGGGGACTCAGGGCGGCTGTTATTATTGTATGTCATTAATAATACAAGCAGTAATAATATACAACACTAGAATAAATAATAATAATAAAACTTTATTCATACCCCTCTCCATCTCCCCCAGGGGGACTCGGGGTGACAATACAATAAACACAATATAACACAAAGCATAACAGAACTAAAAAATAAAAACATAAAATGCAAAACCAAAATAATAAATGAGACAACAGTATAATATCGGACATTAAACACACAGGATACTACCCATAGTAATAATAATGTGCAACAATAATAATGTCAGAAATAATGCTAATAGTAAAGATACACAACAATACCCAAAGCAATAATGTGCAACAATAATATTAATGATACTGTATACCATTAATAATACTAATAGCAATGATATACAATAATACCCATAAGAGTAATGATGTCAACAGTAATATCAATAATATTATTTTGTCATTTGGGAGTTGTAGTTGCTGACCTACAGTCAACGAGCATTCTGAACCCCACCAATGATGAAATTGGGCCAAACTTCCCACACATAAACCCCATGCCTTGAAGGGACTCGCTGAAGCAAGCCTCCTGCCAGCCTCCCGCCAGCCTCGCACACTCTCCCTTGCCCATACACCACACTGCCATGTGCTGAGCACGCCTGCTCTCCCCTCCCCACTTGGAGTCTCAGAAACAGCCCTCCCCTTGATTGAGAGGCTGGCCAATCACAGTGGGTGCTATCTTCCCAAATATATCTGTCTCCTTAAAAGTTTGGAGAAAAACTCAGAAGGGATACCTTCCTACCACAGTGTTATTGTTGTTATTATTCTTACCTGTCCTTCATGCCCACGGCTGGGCACTCGTCGATGACGACGATGCCGTAAGCGTCGCAAAGGTCCATGATCTCCTCTGCGTAGGGATAGTGACTGGTGCGGAAGGAGTTGGCGCCCAACCAGCGCAACAGGTGGAAGTCCTTCACCAGTAGGGCCCAGTCCAGCCCTTTGCCCCGGATCTGGATGTAGTATAACCACAAATTGTATTATGTTCTAATTATATACTAATATAATATACTAATAATATAGTAATATTATAGTCATATATTATATATTACACCATTATTAGTATTTATTTATTAATTAATATAGTAATAATATTATAGTAATAGTAATACTATAGTATTAGAACATTATAAGCAATGCTACTATTTCTTTATTAATATAAGGAACCCCCGGTGGGCCAGCAGGACTGCTGACCGAAAAGTCGTCAGTTCGAATCCAGGGAGTGGGGTGAGCTCCTGTCTGTCAGCTCTAGTTTCCCATTCGAGGACATGAGAGAAGCCTCCCACAGGATGGTAAAACATCCGGGCATCCCCTGGGCAACGTCCTTTCAGAGGGCCGATTCTCTCACACCAGAAGTGACTTGCAGTTTCTCAAGTCGCTCCTGACATGAAAAATAAAATAAAATATATTAATATATACTAATTATATTATTACCATATTATTACTAATGTTATATACAGTAATAATAATATAGTGATATTAGTTATATACTAATATTTATATATTTAATTATCAGTATAATAATATATTATCATATAAATTATATAATTATAATATCAGTATAATAATATACTGATTAGTTATATACTAATCATATACTGATATTATGAGATCTAAATATAATCACAAATTATATTTTAATTATATACTAATATACTAATCATATGATATTATCAAGATGTTCTGAATGAAAAACATGAGTATAAATGATTGAATGAATGAATGTATGTGGAGTGAATGATGAGTATATATGATGTTCCTCTTTGTTTATGTAACTAATATAGCTATTATAAAGCCAGTACTGGAGTCTGTGTGTCTACTTCTTTCTCTGAAAGTGCCTAATGTACTCTGTCCTACTGAAAATGGATTAAAGAACATTTCAAGGTTGAGAAAGTATTCATTACACTATAGCGGCAATCAAAAAGTACAAATGGGATGTGACTTTATATCATTAAATAACTCACATCGGCATCTTCGTGCTTGTTGACCCCATGGAAGTAGAAGGGCTTCCCATTAATGAGGAACTGGCTCGGAGTGACACGGACATTGCGGAAGCCCACTGGCTGGGTGTAGACATCTTCCACGACAACGCCATCTACTTCGGCAGAGACCGTGACCTGTGGGGAGAGAAGACCCATTGCTTTAAGCTAATATTTCCAGAATAGACCTCAAGGACACTTACCTCCAGGTCCCCAATCAACTCACTTGTAATAGACCTCAAGGACGCTTACCTCCAGGTCGCTAATGAACTCACTCCTTCCCCATTCAATTCACACTGTTTTTCAATAAAGGTCTCATCATCAAGTCTGAACCCATTCAACAGAATTTGTTGAAGCCACAAAATCAACAAAGTTTTCAGAGTATAACAACTACTTTCAAAGTAAGGATCACACAAAGAAACAAGAATAACACTTTCTAATGAGGAACAGAACATTTTCAAAATGTCGTGGCATCAAACCACATGGTACAAGGCCACAAAATGTTAACATGGTGAACTGTCCCTTGTGAGGATTGGAGGGAACAAGGAGTACTTGGATCCCATTTCCCATCATCCTTATGCATTGAGTTTTGTGACTGATGGGAGTAGGAGCGTCTCTTGAAAAGCAGCCAGCTTTCTTTACTTTTGTTGTAAGGAAAGGAAACGATCACACTCCAGAAATGAATGGAGTACATCTCCTATCATCCTTGCGCACTGATCAAGGTAGTGGATGGGACCTAGAGTGTATGAACCTCTCGTAAAGGGCCCTGCTTCAATCCCAGGACAGAGGCATCCAGTTACCTTGAGTTGGTACAGGTACCCAGGCTGCTCATGCATCAGGTACGGCCACCATGGGGTCACATTGGGCACCTTCAGCTCCCCAGCCACGCCGTTCCCGGTGGCCACCACGTTACCATCCCCATCGGCCAAAGCCAGGGCCACAGAGAAGCGGGCGGACCCTTTCACTGACACTGTGTACTGCAGCAGACCTGTCCCAAAAGGAGCAAAACCAATGAGTTGTCAAAGACTTTTGCGGCCAGAATCACTGGGGTGTTTTGTGCTTTCCGGGCCGTATGGCCATGTTCTAGGGAGAAAGAAAGGAAGGAATGAAATGGAGAGGGAACGAAGAGAAGAAAAGGAAAGAGAAAGAGGCAGGGAAGAGGAAGAAGAGAGAAAAGGAGGAAGGGAAAAGAGAGGGAAGGAAGAGAATACAATGAGAAAGAAAGAGGGAAGAGAGAGGCAAGGAAGAGAAGAGAGAAAAGGAGGAAGTAAACAGACAGGGAAGGAAGAGAAGAAAAAGAGAAATAAAAGTAGAAAGGAGAGAAGGAAGGACGAAAAGGGAGAGCAAGAGAGGAACTAAACAGAGAGGGAAGAAAGAGAAGAAAAGGAGAAAGAAAGAGGCAGAAAAGAGAGAGGGAAGGACGAGAAGGGAGAGAGAAAGGGAGGAAGGAAACTGGGAAGAAAGAGGAGAAAAGGAAAAAAAAGAGGTAGAAGAGAGAGAAAGGGAAGGAAGAGAAGGGAGAGAGAAAGAAAGGAAAGAAACAAAGAGGGAAGTAATTAATAAAGCATGATGTATTTGTTTGAACCAATGGGACCGTGGCTCTGGACCCACTGGGTGCCTTTACGGGAGTCCCTCCCTCTCATCCTCAGAGACAGAAGACAAAGACCAACCCCCTTGGATTGAATCTTGACCAGAACACTTTGTGAGAGGGTCACCTTGAGTTTGCCCTAAGTCAGAAACGATTTGAAGGCCCACAACAACAGCAACAATAATCAACTATAGTTCGACCCTGAACCCTGGTTGTGCTCTACGTGATGCAATTCCCCAGACTTGCCAGCACTCCCCGCCAGGTCGGAGATCAGGGTGAGGTCGTCCAGGTAGGCCGCAGGGGTCGTGTAGAGCAGGACTGGCCGGTGGATCCCAGCGTAGTTGAAGAAGTCGAAGCGTGTGTTCTGGACAAAGTAGCCCTTGGGGTACCTGGGAGAAGCATGCAGGGAGAGGAGAAACACCATATTGAGAAAGGAAGGCTTTCATGACTGGGGCGTTGTTGTATGTTTTCTGGTCTGTATGCAGATGTAGGAGGATAGTGAGTGTGATGTTGCCCTCAATGAAGAAGGATGGTGAGTATGAATGAGTGAATGAACGGATTACTAGTGAATGTTAGAGTATATGTGACGATGAACTGAACGAACAAGGATTGTGAGTATGAATGATTGAAGCAATGCATTAAGAGTGAATATTAGAGTATATTGTTGCTACTAAAGGTTTGCAACATACTTTTCCTAAGTTTTGGAAAGGATCAGGGCTGTTTCTGTTGCAGCTGACACAGTTAATTGATGGGATAATTGAGTGTATTGTTATCTCATGTATAGTAAGCCACTGTGTGTTTGTACTTTAAGCATTGCGTTCTAGGCTTTGCTTGAGGGCTCGTTCTGAGCTGAAAAGCCTTTGTTTGGTGCTGGGAGCAGTTCTGCAAGCGTCCTGAAGACAAAGTTTGTTGACGGCAAGACAAGGCCACTCTACGGACAACTGAGTAAGAGAGACTGTATGTTGTTTTTGTTACAAGTCTGCATATCGTCGTTGAATGACGAGGACTCACCGAAGATATTGTTTTATGTTATGTTTTTGGTGAGAGCAATTCTTCTGTTTTCTTTTGTAACTTTATTTCTTTTCTACTTAAAGCGAAAGACTCATGTGTTTTTTTTTTTATGAGTTACTTTATCACACTTAAGAGTTACAAGGGCTAGAGTCAGTCTGTGGGCTACTAATGCTAACGCTGACATATATGTGAAGTCCCCCTTTGTCTGTGTAATCAATATAGCTATCATAAAGCCAGTATTGAGGTCTGTGAGTCTACTTTATTCTCTGAAAGTGCCTGAGGATAGATGTGTAAGGTTCCCGAAAATATTCACCGTTCCCCGTAGAGTTGTTTTGGGCTGGCCCCGTACTCACCGCGCCTGGTCTTGCATGTACTGGATGGTCCCCGGTGGCAGCGTTTCGGGCGTCAGGGTGTTGTTGAGGGCGAGGGTGATGCGGCAGGGCTCTCCCGGGGTGAGGAGGTGCCCGATCTCGGCCTCGAAGGGTAAGTGTCCACCCGCATGCTCCGCCACTTGCACACCATTGACCCACTGTGGAAGGAGCATCGCGTTCGAATAGCGGAAAGACCTAGGGATGCTTTCTCCTGGGGGAATGATTCAGGGATGTCTACTCACCACAATGGAATAATAATGGGCGCTTCCCACCCGAAGCACTACCCGCATGGGAGTCTCGGGCAGCATCCAACGCAGGGGCGGCAGCACCTCCTTCTCGTACCAGACCCAGCCCACGTAATGCCTCAGCCCTGGGTCTTGCGTGATCTCGTTGAAACTCGCCGGTACCGGCATCTCCATTACTGGCCCAAACTGCAAAGGGTTACAAATATAATATTCTATCGATACACATAGAATAAAAGTGAAAATATGTATATGTGTATGTGGCTGGGGTGTCCACTTTCTCAGACTCCCGTTTACACGAATAGCTCTAGCTCCCACTATGCGGGAGACACCAATGGCCTTCCTTCCAATGACATTGCAGGTTAGGTGAGCACCATGAACATGTCCAAGAGCCCCGCCAATGTCCTCCACCAACACCACATTGGCCACCACCCAAGGGAAGGCTTTCATATGGGGACCATTTCATCCTAGATTTGATATGTTTCCTCCACCACAGGCATCTCAGTGTTCCTTGCTCTCTCCACTAGTGTGGAATTTGCATGACACCGCCCACTGCCTCTCCCTTAACTCTTTCCTATTCTTTTCTATGGCACACAGCAAACAGAGGAATTGATCAGCAACTGAATATACTGGAAAGGTTTGGGGAGAATTCACCATGATTTATAGGAGTTGTAGGTCCTGGGATGTATTGTTTACCTGCAATCTAAGAGCACTCTGAGCTCCACCAGCAATGGACTTGGAAATAACTTGGTACACAGAACCCCCATGACCCACAAAAAATATTGGAGGTCTTTGGAGGGATTTATAGGAGTTGTAGTTCACCTCCATCCAGAGCACACTACAAACCCAAAGAATGATGGATCTGGACCAAACTTGGCATGCATACCCAATATGCCTAAATTTGAATAATGCTGGATTTCGACGGGAATTGGCCTGGGCATTTTGGAGTTGTAGGTACTGGGATGTATAGTTCACCTGCAAGCAAGGAACACTCCGAACTCCACCAAAATTGGAATTGGATAGCACTTGGCACACAGAGCCCCTGTGACCAATAAAAAAATACTGGAGGCCTTTGGGGGAAATTTCACCTTGATTTGGGGGAGTTGTTGTTCACCTACATCCAGAGAGCAGTGTGAATCCAAACACCGATGGATCTGGACCAAACTTGGCACACATACTCGAAATGTTGAAATTTGATTCCTGGAGGGTTTGGGGGGGATTGATCTTCCTTTCTGGGAGTTGTAGTTTACCCACGAGAGAAACGGTGGCCACCACCGATGATGGTCCTGGACCACAACTGGCACACAGAAATCCCATGAACTCACTCAACCTATTGGAGGGGTTTGAGGGGACTAACTCGCCATAGTGGGAGTTGTAGTTTACCCTGCAGCCAGAGAGTACACTGAATTATGATAACAATGACGAAAATAATAATATTGATGATGCTGAAGAGGCCACTAGAGGGCACCAGTGTGCAGTTTAATGAATGGAACGGGGGATTTTCAATGAATCCACTAGAGGGTGCTGGCATGTAATGTATTCAAAATGAATGGGAAAATACTATATTTTATTATAGTATTATTGTTATAATTATATTTTATATTATAATTAAATATTATTGATTTATTATAGTATTATTTTATCATAGTATGATTATTATAATATATTGTCCATTTAATTATAGCATTATTATATTTTATTATAGTATAATATTATTGTTGCATTATAATAATATTTTATATTATTGTAATAATAGTATTATATTATATGGAGCCCCCGGTGGCGCAGTGAGTTAAACCACTCAGCTGCCGAAGTTGCTGATCGAAAGGTTGCAGGTTCGAATCCGGGGAGAGGCGTGAGTCCCGCTGTTAGCCCCAGCTTCTGCCAACCTAGCAGTTCGAAAACATGCAACTGTTTTCAATACCGTAAGGAAGGTAATGGTGCTCCATGCAGTCATGCCGGCCACATGACCTTGGAGGTGTCTATGGACAACGCCAGCTCTTTGGCTTAGAAATGGAGATGAGCACCAACCCCAAGGGTCAGACATGACTCGAATTAATGTCAGGGGAAAACCTTTCCCTTTCCCTTTACCAATAGTATTATATAATTATATCATTTTATATTATTATATATATTATTTTATTGTAGTATTATTATATTTTATAGTATTATTATACTTATATTTTTATAATAATATAATTATAGTATTATATTATAATATATTATATTGTTATGTTTTATTATAATATTTTACATATTATTATAATATTATTTTATATTATTATTATGTTTGTTGTTTATTCGTTCAGTTGCTTCCGACTGACCATTTTAATATTATAGTGTTATTTATTTATTATTTCACAGACTTCCTTGCGAAAAGGCCAATGGAAAAGAAGAACTTCCTCCTTTTGCAATCATTAAGAAATGTTGAGTCAGGCCTTTCCATTCCAAAGTCCTTCTTGTGCTTCCCCTTTTCTCCAAATAGCCGTATTTGGCAGAGGAAAATATTCAAAAAAAGGAGAACTATTTTGAGAGGCAAAAAAAGCAGCCGGGGCCACAAATTTCCTGATTTTGTGCATCCAAATGCAGTTTGAGTGCTATGGGCTCAATGCTACGGGGTCTTGGAAGTTGTAGTTTGGGCATGGGAGGCAAAAAGGTCTTGGAAAACTACAACTCCTGGGATTCCATAGCATTGAGCCATGGCAGCTGGTGTAGAACGATGTTCTCTAAGAGTGTATTGATTGAGTTAATCCCTTAGCAGAAATACAACTCCCCAGGACTTCATACATAGCCTGGTTTTTAATGGGTATCTTGTTTGTATTATTATTATTATTATTATTATTATCATCATTATTATTATATTGTAACTATTATCCCCAAAGAGACTCGCTTTGGGATAATAATAATTTTAATATTGTTATTATTACATTATTATTTGTCAATACTGTTGTTTAATTGTGATGAAATCTTGCTTATAGTTTAAACTCTGTGTGTTTCGGTGTAGAAATGTAATGCTGTGCAAGAGGTAAGTGCACAAAATTTTGATTTATGCCTAGGGCATAGCTTTGGACAGTTTCTGTTGCGTCAAGCATTCCAGTGTTGAGATAACAACTCCGGTTTCTTCCAGCGATGTCCAGTGAGCAGGGAAGACGTGTCTTCAACTATTCTTGTACATAGGTTTTGTTTCTGTACTTTGTAGAAAGCAATAATAAATCTTTCAGTGCCACTCCAAGGCTTTGGAGTTGAATGAAGACTCTGCGCTTCACTTGTTCTGTGCTTCTTAGCTGTCGCTCTGAGGCCGATAAACTGACATTATTATTATTTTCCCAAATGGAGAATATAACAATATAATTACCATTACTGCTACTATTATATTATTATATCCCGAGAGAGAGTCCGTTTGGGAAATGTTGGAGGACCTGTCTTCTTTTTAATGGATATCTTCCTGCCATGGAGCCTGGCGATTCTGTCGACGCCTTGGTTGATCTCTACAACAGGGAGATGACCAGGGCGATAGATACGATCGCTCCCGAATGCCCCATCACGTTGCGCCGTGACAGGCCATCCCTGGTTTACGGGGAGCTGGCTGTAATGAAGCACACGAGAAGGGGGCTTGAGCGCATTTGGAGATCTCGGGATGTGTCTGACCAAGCACGGGCTAAAGCCTCTCTTAAGGCATACTCGGTGGCTATACGGATGGCCAGGGAATCTTTCATGACCACTCGTATAGCGTCTGCAGCAAATAGATCATCGGAGCTGTTTTGGGTTGTCGGGGAACTCCTTTACCCACCTGTGGTGGAGGAGACCTTCGACGACCCAGCAACTCGGTGTTGCGAGTTCGCACACCATTTTGCAGGCAAAGTTGCTCAGATACGCCTTGAGCTCGACTCCAATTTCATCACAGTACCAGATGAGGTGATTGAGGCCTCTGCTTGTCCAATTTTGTGGGATTCTTTTAGGCCTGTTGTTCCTGAGACCGTGGAAGAGGTCCTTTGGGCTGTGAGAGCGACCACTTTGACTCTAGACCCTTGCCCATCATGGCTAATTAAATCGGCCAAGGAGGGGTTGGTTGATTGGTTTGTGTTGATCATTAATGCATCGTTGGAGCAAGGGATTTTTCCATCTAATTTGAAACAGGCTGTGGTTCGTCCACTCCTCAAAAAGGCTTCCCTTGACTCCACGGTGCTGAACAATTACAGACCGATCTCCAACCTCCCTTTTTTGGGTAAGGTGCTGGAGCGGGTGGTCACCTCCCAGCTCCAGGGCTTTTTGGATGACATCAACTACCTAGATCAGTCACAGTCTGGTTTCAGGCCTGGTCATGGTACCGAGACAGCCTTGGTCGCCTTGGTGGATGACCTCCGTAGAGAGCTGGACAGGGGGAGTGTTACTCTGTTGGTTCTCTTGGACATCTCAGCGGCTTTTGATACCATCGATCATGGTATCCTTCTGGGTCGACTCTCTGGGATGGGTCTCGGGGGCATGGTTTTGTCGTGGCTCTGGTCCTTCCTGGAGGGTCGATCCCAGATGGTGAAGCTGGGAGACGCCTGCTCGGACCCCTGGCCTTTGACCTGTGGGGTCCCGCAAGGCTCTATTCTGTCTCCCATGCTTTTTAACATCTACATGAAACCGCTGGGAGAGGTCATCCGGAGTTTTGGAGTTGGGTGCCATCTCTACGCAGATGACGCACAACTCTACTACTCTTTTCCACCAAGGAGGTCTCTCGGGTGCTGGACGAGTGCCTGGCCGCTATGTCCATCTGGATGAGGAGGAACAAGCTGAAGAGCAATCCCGACAAGACAGAGGTCCTCCTGGTCGATCGCAAACCGGATCGGGGTATAGGGTGGCAACCTGTTCTGGACGGGGTTACACTCCCCCTGAAGCCACAGGTCCGCAGTCTGGGAGTCCTCCTGGATTCATCACTCACGCTTGAGGCTCAGGCGTCGGCAGTGTCCAGGAAGGCTTTCGCACAACTAAGACTCGTGCGCCAGCTGCAACCAGCTGCGAAGGCTGATCTGGCCGGAGTGGTCCATGCCTTGGTCACCTCTAGGTTGGATTACTACGAACCCACACGTTCATTACGCTCATCTGGAGAGGCCCTGCTCGTGGTCCCGCCTGCGTCGCAAGCACGTTTGGTGGGGACACGAGACAGGGCCTTTTCCGTGGTGGCCCCCCGTCTCTGGAACACCCTCCCCAAAGATCTTAGACAGGCCCCTACATTGGCAGTCTTCAGAAAGAATTTGAAGACCTGGCTGTTCCGATATGCCTTCCCCGATTAGGAAATCTCCAACACCAAGTCCCAGAAGCACTTTATTAGAACTCAAGACCGCCGCACTCTGCACACTGCACTTGCCCTATAATATCACCTCCTGTCATATCAGCACTTTTTAATCCTGTACCCTTTACTCTGGCATGGCCCAGTTTTATCTTGTTGATGTATTGTTTATTGCTTGTGGTTTTGTTGTTTTAATACTGCTTTAATTGTTTTTAATTTGCTTTGAGTGTATTGTTGTGTTGTGTATTGAGGCCTTGGCCTTTGTAAGCCGCATCGAGTCCTTCGGGAGATGCTAGCGGGGTACAAATAAAGTTTAATAATAATAATAATAATAATAATAATAATAATAATTATTATTATTATTATTATTATTATTATTATGCCCAAAGAGACTCCATTTGGGAAATGATGTAAGTCCTGCCTGGTTTTTAATGGGTGTCTTTTATGTATATATGAAGGAACTATTACATATTATATATTATTATATTATGTATTATTATCCCCAAAGAGACTCCGTTTGGGAAACGGTGGAGGTCCTGCCTGGTTTTTAATGGGTGTCTTGTATGTATATATGAATGTACTATTAAGGTAAAGGTAGTCCCCTGACATTAAGTCCAGTCAGGTCTGACTCTGGGGTGTGGTGCTCATCTCCATTTCTAAGCCGAAGAGCCAGCGTTGTCCGTAGACACCTCCAAGGTCATGTGGCCGGCATGACTGCATGGAGCGCCGTTACCTTCCCGCCGGAGCGGTACCTATTGATCTACTCACATTTGCATGTTTTCGAACTGCTAGGTTGGCAGAAGCTAGGGCTGACAGCGGAAGCTCATGCCGCTCCCTGGAATCGAACCTGCAACCTTTCGATCAACAAGCTCAGCAGCTCAGTGCTTTAATCCACTGCGCCACCGGGGGCTCCGAATGTACTATTACATATTATTATATATATTATATATTATAATATATAAATACATATATTATTATTATTATTATTATTATTATTATTATTATTATCCCCAAAGAGACTCCATTTGGGAAATGGTGGAGGTCCTGCCTGGCTTTTAATGGGTGTCTTGTATGTATATATGTATTATATATTATAATATATATATTATTTTATATAAATTATTTTGTTATTTCCAAAGAGACTCCATTTGGGAAAATAATAATAATGTTAATATTGTGATTATTACATTATTATTATTATTATTATTATTATTATTACTATTATTATTATTATTTTCCCCCAAGGAGTCTGTTTGGAGATAATAATGCTAATACTACCCATAATCTTCGATACCTCAGGCCAGAGTCTGCCTCCTTCTGGGTAGGCCTCACCTTGCGGAGGGGCTGAAGGAACCACTTTTGTCGGAAGCCGGTGTCCCTGGCGGGGCTCCAGTCCGGGCGGAAGCTCCAGAGGCCGCCCAGCTCCTTCCTCTCCCGCGTCCTGGACTCCCGCGGATACAGGAGCCCGCCCTCCAAGGCCCAGAGGCTTCCCAGAGAGAGGAGCAGCAAGAGCAGGAGCCCCAACTGAGCTCCCTCCGCCATGGCTGCCGCTTGCAGAATGACCCCAGGCTGACTGACCAGAGGTGCCCGCTGGCGCCACGCCCCCTCCCCCGCCCAATCAGGGGCGCCCCTGTCCTTGTCACGTGCCCAACCCGGAAGTAAGCAAACCTCAAAAGCCACGTGCGTGGAGGGAAACTTGTTTCCTAGAGAGAGAAGGCATCCTGCGAGGGAATTAGTCATTATTAATTATTAATATTGTTATTATTATCCCCGTTTTTCTCTCTTCAAAAGATTCTGGGAGTTATTGTTTTAAATTATATATTTTTTATTTATTTTATATATATTATATTGCAAGTAATATTACTAATATTATGACAATATAATGATATAGTACAGTGGTTCTCAACCGGGGTTCCCCAGATGTTTTTGGCCTTCAACTCCCAGAAATCCTAACAACTGGTAAACTGGCTGGGATTTCTGAGAGTTGTTGGCACAAAACATCTGGGGACCCCAGGTTGAGAACCACTGGTATAGTACAATATAGTAATATATAATACTGATATTGTACTATGCTAATAATATAATATGTTGTGTATATATATCTTGTAAGCCGCTCTGAATCCCCTTCAGGGTGAGAAGGGCGGCATAGAAATGTTGTAAATAAATAAATACTGGGTGGTTGTGTTTCCCGGGCTGTCTGGCCATGTTCCAGAAGCATTCTCTCCTGACATTTTGCCTGCATCCGAGGTCTGAGGATGCCTGCCATAGATGTGGATGAAACGTCAGGAGAGAATGCTTCTGGAACATGGCCATACATCCCAGAAAACTCACAACCACCCAGTGATTCTTGCCATTAAAGCCTTTGACAACTTATTGATTATTATTATTAATTATTATTATCCCACTTTTTCTAACGTTTGGAAACGTGGAGGTCCTGCCTGGTTTTTTATGGGTGTCTTGTTTGGTTGGATCTTCTGGTGGTCCAAGCACTCTCAGAACGTTACTCCAACACCACAGTTCAAAAGCATCTATTTTATTATTATATTTTTATATTATTATGGTTGATGATTATTTCAGTTGTCACAGTTTATGCTTTTTATAGATTATTATAGATTATTTATAGATTGTTATTTTTTGTCATACTGTTATATTACTATTGATTATTTATGGATTATTATTCTTTATTACTGGTGATTGTTTATAGATTATTATTATTATTATTGGTGATTGTTTGTAGATCATTATTATTGGTGATTATTTCTAGATTATTTTTATGTATAGATTACTATTTTGACAGCTTGAAGCGAGACCCAACCTAGTCAAAGGAAGCCACGTCAGCCTTGTGTCGGTTCCCCGTTCCCCCCCTCCCCCAAAAAACAACGCAAAGGACCAGGCGGAGAGTGTTTTCTGAGCGAAATCCAACACACCACGGTATTTATTGATTATTAACTCAGGGTCAACAAACGCGCTGCTGCTGCTGGGACGCAGAGGGGGCGGCTTGGGGCCCCTGCTGGCTGTGCCCCTCCAGGGTCGGCCCCTGCACCGCTCATTCCTTCTGCTTCTTGAGGATCTCCTTAAGGGTCTCGATCTGGGTCAGGATACTGCTCTTGGCCGTCCCCCCAATTGAGGTGTTCAGCTCCACGCTGCTCTGCGGGCTTGGGAGCTGAGAGATCTCGCTGCTCAGGAGAGGGCTGCCAAGGAGGAAGAAGGAGGTGAAGATCAGTAGTAGTTGTAATAATACTACTACTAATAATAATAATGGATTATAATATCATAGTGATTCCATTTTCCTACCTAGTAGAGAAAGGGCTGGACTTGATGGCCCTTGGGGTCCCTTCCAACTATGTTAGTATAATCATCATCATCATCATCATCATCATCATTGACAAGAATGGATAATGATATAATAGTAATTCTATCTTTCTGCCTGGCAGAAGGGGATTTGATTGAATAATAATAATAATAGATAATACTAGATAATAATGGATAATATAATAGTAATTCTACAACAACAATAATAGGTAATAATATAATAGTAATTCAAAAATAACAATGTATAATGGATAATAATAGTAATTCAATAACAACAACAACAATATAATAGTAGTTCTATCTTTCTTCCTGGCAGAAGGGGATTGGATTGAATAATAATAATAATAATAATAATAATAATAATATAGTAATTCTATCCTTCCTGGCAGAAAGGGGGTTGGACTGGATGGCCTTTAGGGGCCCCCTCCAAGCCTAGGTGTCTATGATTCTAAGCCCAAAATACCCGGATGTTTGGGAGAGGCAAGCCTTCGCTGAACAAACACCACGAAAAGTTCACCAAGATAGAATCCAGGGCGTGATGATGTGTGTCAATGAGGGCCAGAAACTTGGCTAAGCTCCTTGTGTGCCTTAAAAGGAGGGAAGAAAAGGGAGGAAGGAGTCCCACCTGATGCTCTTGAGCTCCTCGGAGGAGAGCTGGGTGAGGGTGATGCCTTTGCTCTCGGCCAGCTGGATGGCCTTCCCCACAATGGTGTGGGCTTGACGGAAGGGCACCTGCAGGGGGGGAAAAAGGGGGGTCAGAGGTTCAAACGCGGACTCTGCAGCCTTTGCTTTCCTTTTTCCTCATGCGTTTGAATCCCCGCAAGGCTCACCCCTTTGCGAACCAAGAGGTTGGCCAGGTCAGTAGCCAGCAGCTCTGGGGTCAAGGACTTCTCTATGGCCTCCTTGTTGATCTAAGAAAGAAAGAAAGTGTTACGAGGGATTGACCAGTTTATCTGGTTTGACCCACCCTGAGGATGCAGAATATCCCAAAAGGAACACGAGGCAATAAAGCAGGGCTGGGAAGGGGGGCGCTCTCACCGTGAGCGAGGAGATCACTACGTTGGCCAGCTGCAGGACGGCGCTCACCGTGTCCACCACGTCCAGGACCGGCTCCTTGTCCTCCTGTTACCCAGAGGAAGGAAGGAAGAGAAATAAGCATGGGATTGGGGGGGGGGGGGCAAGTGAGGCTTCATAGGGCAGAGCTACCCAACAAGGGGGGGGGGGACTTAAAAGCCCACTTTCTGCAGAGGGAGAGGCAGGAAACAAGGGCCGCATCTCTCCCTCTATCTATCTATCTATCTATCTATCTATCTATCTATCTATCTATCTATCTGCTTGCTTCCATCATGTATCTCCCCCTTCCTCTATTTCCTTCCTCTGTTCATAATCTATCTATCTATCCATCCATCCATTCCTCCCTCCCGCCATCTATCCATCATTCCTCTATCTATCTATCTATCTATCTATCTATCTATCTATCTATCTATTCATCCATCTATCTATCCCTCCCTGTATATATCTATGCATCTATATATGCATCCATTCCATCCATACTCCCTCCTTCCCTCTCTTTCTATCTAATCTACATATATACATCTATCTATCCCTCCCTCCCTCTAGCTAGCTAGCTAGCTAGCTAGCTAGCTAACTTAATGTTTTATTTACTGTTTTAAACTGTTGCTATTTGTGTTTATATTTGTATTATATTGAGGCTTCGAATTGTGGCCAGTTTGTAAGCCGCCCTGAGTTGAGAAGGGTGGGATAGAAATATTGGAAATAAATAAATAAATATCCATTCCATCCAGCCATCCCCCCTCCCTCTCTATCTATCTAATCTTCCTATCTATACATCTTCCATTCCTCCCTCCCTCTCTCTAATATTATAATATAATGCAATATAATACTATATATATTGTATTATATATATAATATAATTATATATATAATTATATATATATAATACTTGGGAGTGTGGGGTATAAATATAGGAAATAAATAAAAATAAATAAATATAATAATACTACTAATAATATAATATTATACTTATATATTTATATTACATGTAATATTATTAATAATATTACAATATAATGGTATAGTACAATATAGTAATATTTAATACTGATATTGTACTATGCTAATAATATAATATATATTGTGTGTGTGTGTGTGTGTGTATGTATGTATGTGTGTATCTCTCTCTCTCTATTTATCTATCTTGTAAGCCGCTCTGAGTCTCCTTTGGGGTGAGACGGGCGGCATATAAATGTCGTAAATAAATCATAAATAAATATCTATTCATTCCTCCCTCAATCCACCATCCTTTCATCCTCCCACCCCCTCCTATGTATCCATCCACCATCCCTTCCTCATTCTATCCATTCCATCCTTTACCTCCTACCCATCTCCCCCTCCCTCTAGCCCTCCCTTATCCTTCTATTTATCAATCCCTTATCCCTCCCTCCTCCTAACAACAACAACAACTTTATTTGTGTATCCCACCATGATCTCCCCGAAGAGACTTGGGGCGGCTTATATGGAGACTAGCCTGTCTGTCTGTCTGTCTGTCTGTCTGTCTGTCTGTCTGTCTGTCTATCTATCTATCTATCTATCTATCTATCTATCTATTTATCCCCCCATCCACCATGTCTCCCTCTACTCCTCCCTGCCCTCCCTCCTACCTGCAAGTCCTTGCTGTAGGCGCTGGGCAGGGCCTTGAGCACCACCAGGAGCTGCACAGTCTGCAAGGAAAGCCAAGGGAGAGGGTGAAGGAATGAATGAATGAATGAATGAATGAATGACCAGGGGTCTTCTCCTCCTTCTTCCTCCCCCCTTTCCCCTTCCCCTCTTTGCTGACCCGTCCAATGACCAGGCCGGTCTTGCTGCGGATGATCTCCAGGCTGTCTGGGTTCTTCTTCTGGGGCATCAGGCTGCTCCCGGTGCTGGGAACACAGAATCATCATCATCATCAAATTATTATTAAATTGTATTATTATTATTATTATTATTATTATTGAGAGAGAGATCATTCCCTAATGCCATGCTCTGCCTGGGTTTAGTTCCCGTATTGCATCGCTGGCAGAGAAAGAAGCAGATGAAGGAAGACACCACCTGATCCCTCCCGACAGATGGCCATCCAGCAAAAGATATGAGAGAGAGGAGGAGAGAGAAGATTGAGAGAGACATAAAGGACATAGCATAGAATCCTAGAGTTGGACGGGACCCCCTAAGGCCATTCAGGTCAACCCTCTTCTGCCACACGCCATCTGATCTCTCCCAACAGATGGCCATCCAGCCAAAGATGGCCACAGATATGATAGATAGATAGAGAGCACACAGATAGAGTACACAAAGAGATGACTGAGAGACACATATAGAATACAAAATCCCAGAGTTGGAGGGGACCTCTAAAGGCCATTCAGCCCAACCCCCCTTCTGCAAGACACCATTCGATCCTTCCCAATAGATGACCATTCAGCCATAGATGGCCATAAAGATAGGTACAGAGAGAGAGATGATGATTGAGAGACACATACATGTTATAGAATCCTAGTTAGGACCCCCAAAGGCCATCCAGTCCAACCCTCTTCTGCCATAAAGACACCACCCGATCCCTCCTGACAGACGGCCATCCAGCCATAGATATGAGGGAGGAGGAGAGAAAAGATTGAGAGAGACATAGAGGACATAACATAGAATCCTAGAGTTGGATGGGACCCCCTAAGGCCATTTAGTCCAACCCCCTTCTGCCAGACGCCATCTGATCTCTCCCAACAGATGGCCACCCAGCCATAGATAGATGGCAGACATATAGGATAGATATAGAATCTCAGAGTTGGAAGGGACCTCTAAAGTCCATCTAGTCTGATCCTCTTCTGCCATAAAGACACCAACCGATCCCTCCTGACAGATGGCCACCCGGCTCTGCTTGAAAACCTCCATGATTCTATTAAATACTGACCAGAGTGAATCGGGGAGGCTGATGAGTCCCAGCTCCTTTGTGGAGGCCAGCAGGAGATCCTCGGCTAACCGGCTCAAGTGGATCATGATCAGGGAGGAAGTGGAGAGCAGCTCGACTGGGGGGAGAGAAGAAGGGGTGCGTGAGGGCTCTGCCAAAGCAAAGGCATCAGCCAAAGCGAGGAGGAGGAGGAGGAGGAGGAGGAGGAGGAGGAGGAGGAGGAGGAGGAGGAGGAGGAGGAGGAGGAGGAGGAGGAGGAGGAGGAGGAGGAGGAGGAGGAGGAGGAGGAGGAGGAGGAGGAACGGAAGCAAGCCCTGGCTCACCCACAAAGTCCCGGTCCCCGACGGCATCGATGCTGTTGATGCTGATGGCACCCAAGTCCAGCTCTGCAAGGCATTCAAAACAAAGTGAGAAGTCAGGGAATAATAATAATAATAATAATAATAATAACAACAACAACAGGAATCCCAGCAGCCATTCAGTCCAACCCCCTTCTGCTTTCATGCAGGAAAAACACATTCAAAGCACTCCCAACAAATGGCCATCACGCCTCTGTAACAACAATAATAGTCATAAATAATATTTAATAATAATAAATAATAGGAGCAACCCCATGGGCCATCCAGTCCAACCCCCTTTATTCTGCCATGCAGGAAAAGTACAGTCAAAGCACTCCCAGTAGATGACCACCCAGCCTTTGCAATAATAATAAGTAATAATTAATAATAACAAGAACCCCAGGGGCCATTCAGTCCAACCCCCTTCTGCCTTCATGCAGGAAAACACATTCAAAGCACACCCAACAGATGGCCATCCAGCTTTTGCAATATTAATAGTAAATAATAATAATAATAGGAGCAACCCCAAGAGCCATTCTGTCCAACCACCTTTATTCTGCAATGCAGGAAAAGCATAGTCCGAGCACTCTTGACAGATGGCCACTCAGCCTTTGCAATAATTAATAATAATAATAATAATAATAATAATAATAAGCAGGAACTCCAGGGGCCTTTCAGTCCAACCCCCTTCTGCCTTCATGCAGGAAAAACACATTCAAAACACAGCCAACAGATGGCCATCCAGCTTTTGCAATATTAATAGTAATTAATAATAATAATAATAATAGGAGCAATCCCAAGAGCCATCCTGTCCAACCGCCTTTATTCTGCAATGCAGGAAAAGCATACTCTGAGCACTCTTGACAGATGGCCACTCAGCTTTTGCAATAAATAATAATAATAATAATAATAATAATAATAATAATAATAATAATAAATAAGCAGGAACCCCAGGGGCCATTCAGTCCAACCCCCTTCTGGCTTCATGCAGGGAAAGCACAATCAAAGCACCCCCCTCCCCATAGATGGCCATCCAGCCTTAATAATAATAACAATAATAATAAATAAAGAAGAAGAATAGCAATGCAAATAATAATGAAATTAATAACAATAAATAGCAGGGACCCCAGGGGCCATTCAGTCCAACTCCCTTCTGGCTTCATGCAGGAAAAGCACAGTCAAAGCAACCCCAACAGAGGGCCACCCAGCCTCTGCAATAATAATAATAACAATAAATAGTGAAAACCACAGGGGCCATTCAGTTCAACTCCCTTCTACCTTCATGTAGGAAAGGCACAATCAAAGCATTCCCAACAGATGGCCACCCAGCCTTTGCAATCATCATCATCATCATCATCATCATCATAGTGGGAACCCCAGGGGCTTTGCAGACTGAGAGAACCTCTGCGTTGGGCCCAAAACTGGGAAGGGATTTCACTCCTTGGACTCACCTTTGCGGAGGAGTTCCCTGTCCAGCCCAAGGGGGTTTCCGGCAATGGCTCCACTGCAAGAGAGCAAAGCATTGGTCCCAACGATCCCAGTGAAGGGACCCTTGGTGGTGGCAAAGCCTCTCTTTCCCCCTAATTGTCCAAAGGAAACTGCCAAACTGACCTTCCCAGAGTCAAGACGTTGGTTCTCTTCTTGACCTCGAGGAGGCGCTCAGAGTCGCGGGTCAAGGCCACGGCATGGCTGTGTCCAGAATCAAGGCCAAGAGAAGGTTAACGTGGAAAACAAAAAAAATTAGAAGGACAATATAATGTATAATAATACCAATAATGATAATAATCATATAATTTATAATAGTAACAATAGTGCAATATAATAATTTATAAAGGCAATATAATTTATAATAACAATATATTATAAGTTATTATTTTAGTATAATAATAACTATTATATAGAAATTATATAATTCATACTGGTACTACTACTTGTTATATTATATTAACAGCTTATGGTATAATAATAATAATAATAATAATAATAATAATAATGGATTTCCAGGGCAGATCTCTTGCCCCCTTTTCTTATGGTTTCAGATCCTATAGATGGGCTTCTCACCTGAGTAAGAGCTGGCTGAGTCGGATGGGCTGCGCCTTCTGCAAGTGTGTGAAGCCCGGGATGATGATCTCGATTTCCCTGCAGGAAGGAAGGAAAGGAGACAAGACATGAAAGGCGCCCTGCTCCCAGAATCCTCCAAACAGACTTCAGCTTGGGTTGCTGTGAATTTCCCGGGCTGTATGGCCAATGCGTTCCAGTAGCATTCTCTCCTGACGTTTTGCCTGCATCTGTGCCTAATGGCATCTTTATAGGATCTGATGTGAGTCAAGCAAGTGGATGAGTGTGTATATATATATATGTACACATATATATACATATACAAACACACACATACATAGAATCAAAGAGTTGGAAGAGACCTCATGGGCCATCCAGGAATATTGCATTCAAAGCACCCCTGACAGATGGCCATCCAGCCTCTGTTTAAAAGCTTCCAAAGAAGGAGCCTCCACCATATATGTGTGTAATACACACACACACACAAACATACTTGTGGGATAATGTCCAGGGTGGGAGAAAGGACCCTTGTCTGTTTAAGGAAATATAAATTTTGCAATGAGCAAGCTTGAATAGCATTGAGTAGCCATGAAGTTTGCAAAGTCAATCAGTGAGGGTATCTGCATAGAGGTAGCCTCGCCCCTGTTGACTGGTAATAATTATAATAGAATATAATAGTTATAATAGAATATAATAATATAGTACAATACTATTATAATAATATAATATGGAAATAATTATAACAATATAACAATTATATAGTAGAATAATAATATAATATTATATAGTAATAATATAATATGGTAACACTTATAATAATATAACAATATAGTATAATAATATTATAATAAGAATATAATATGGTAACAATTATAACAATATAACAATAATTTAGTAGAATAATATATAGTAATAATAATATGGTAACAATTATAATATAATAATATAGTATAATAATATTATAATATAATATGGTAATAATTATAATATAATGGCTACTCAATGCTATTCAAGCTTGCTCATTGCAACATCCATACTTGCTTTACACAGGCAAGGGTTTTTTTCTCCCACCCTGGACGTTATTCTACAGGGATATATATATATATATATATATATATATATATATACACACACACACACACACACACACACACTGCACTTGCTTCACTGCCAACAAATCCCTGAAGATACCATTAATCACAGATGGAGGCCAAATGTCAGGAGAGAATGCTGCTGGGACGTGGCCAGACAGCCTGGAAAACTCACAGCAACCCAGGAAAGCATTTTGACAATGCAGACTTCATCTTACGTGGAGGCGCGCTCAATGAGGGTCCGGGTGAGTTGCTGCACCAGCGAGATCAGCAAAGTGATGGAGCTCTTCAGCAACAACCTCAGGTCGTTCACCACCTGCAAAGGCAGCAGCCACAAGGGATCATGGGAGATGTAGTCCCCGTCGCCCTGCAAAGTCCCTTTCCCTATCCTTATTAAAATCCCTCTCTGTATATAGTATCTACGGCACTGTTTCCAAGGCCTTGCATTCAAAACTTGACTCAATTCTATTGGTTTGAATGGTGACAGGGAAACAACTCTCCAAACTCCGCTGACAAAAAAAAGAGGAAGAGTTGGTGACTTTGGAGGCCTGTCTTTCTCCCATTCTGGGTGGAGTGTCCCTCTGCCATGTGACTGAGGAAGGAAGAGAAAGGAGGGTAGGAAGGAAGGGGGAAAAGAAGAGGAAAGGAAAAAAGGGAAGGAGGGATGGGGAAGTAGATACAGGAGGGAAGGAAGGAGGAAAGAACAGATGAGGGGAAAAGAACAATGAGGAAAGGAAAAGAAAAGGAGAAAGGAAAGGAAGAGAAAGGAAGGAAGAGAAAAGAAAGGAAAAAGAAAGAAAGAGGAGATGAAGGAAGRAAYAGAAAGAAAAGGGGAAACAGTTTGAGGAGAGGGAAGAAAGAAAGAAGGGAAGAATGAAGGAAGGAAGAAAAAGAAAAGGGGGGAAAATCTGAGGGGAGTGAAAAGAAAAAAACAAAAGGGAGGGAAATAAAGGAAGGAAAGAAAAGGGGAGGAAAGAAGGGAGGGAGAGATGAGAGAGAAAGAAGAGAAAGAAAAGGGGAAAGGTTTGAAGAAAGAATGAGAAAAGGAAGGAAGGAAGAAGAGAAAATGGAAGAGAAAGAAAAGGGRAAATGGTAAAAGGGAGGGAAGAAAGAGAAAGTAGGGAAGAGAAAAGAAAAGAAAAAAGGAGGGAAAGAAAGAAAGATGAGATGAAGAAAGGAAGAGAAAGAAAGAAAGAAAGGGGAAAAGGTCTGAAGGAAGAAAGAGAAAGGAGAGCAGAGAACATAAAAGAAGAGGCAAAGGAAGGAAGAGAAAGAAAAAGGGAAAGAGTCTAAGGGGAGAGAAGAAAGAAAGAAGGGAAGAGAAAAGGAAAAAAATAAGAAAAGAAAGATGAAAGAAGGGAGGGAGAGATAAAGAAAGAAGAGATGGTGGAAGGAAGAGAAAGAAAAAGGGGAAAGGTCTAAAGGGGAAGAAGAAAAAAGAAAGAAAGAAAGAAAGAAAGAGAAAAGGAAAGGAAAGAAAAGGAGGAAAGTTTAAGGGAAGAAAGAGAATGAAGGGAAGAGAAAAGGAAGGAAGGAAGACGAAGCGGATGGAAAAGAAAGAAAAAGGGAAAAGATCTGAGGAAAGAAAGGGAAAGAAGAAGAGAAAAGAAGAGAAATAAAAGGGGGAAAGGTTTAAAGGAAAAAGGAAAAAGAAGGGAAGAGGAAAGAAAGAGAAAGAAAGAAAGAAAGAAAGAAAGAAAGAAAGAAAGAAAGGAAGGAAGGAAGGAAGGAAGGACGGACGGACGGAGGAAATGAAGGACAGAAGAGAAAGAAAAGGGGGAAAAGAAGAAGGAAAAAGAAGGGAAGAGAAAAAAAGGAAGGAAGGAAGGCGAGATGAAGAACGGAAGAGGAAGAAAAGGGAAAAAGACCTGAAGGAAGGGGAGGATGAAGAAAGGGAAGGAAGATGAGACGAAGGAAGGGAAAGAAGGAAGAAAGAAGAGGGGAGCCCCTTGACGAAAGAGAGAACCGTCCAAGGGCCGCTATCCTCAAGCCACCTTTCTGGGATCCATAGATAGGGAAGAGTTTCTCAGACTGTTTTGTATCTGGGTGAACAGAAAGGAAAAAGTGGTGCGGAGGTGGTAGGTACCCCTTGTGTGCGGACGGAGCCGTACGCGGCCACCCAACGCGCGCAAAAGCAGGACTGGGACCCCCGCTGGCCCTCGGAGACGCAGACAAGCTCCTTGAGCACCAGGTGACGCTCCACGGAGGCTACGGGCTGAAGGAGGGAGAGAAGGCTATAGGAAGAGTCAGCCGGAGCCATCCTACTCCCCACTCTCGAGGGGGGACATATGTCTAAGTCGCCGGACAAGACTTCCAGCACTGATGGGGCTTGGGACAGGCAACTACATTATAGGATGGGCATGGGCCAACGTCAACACTCCCTCCAGGTGTTTTGGACTCCAACTGCCACAATTCTTAACAGCAAACTATAATAATAATAATCATCATCATCATCATAATAAAGATGCACAGGTATAGAGGCATGGGCTAACCAGCACTCCAAATGCATTGAGTCGTCCCCTCAAAATGGGGGCTCGTCCAGGATTTAAACCTACATCTGTGCCCCTTCATTATTATTAATACATAATATCATATAAATATTATATTACGATAATATTATATAATAATATAATAATAATAATAGAAACACATTGAGAGCTTGGCTACAATGTTATAATATATTTAATAGTATATTACAATACTATTATAATTATATATATTAATATCATATAAATATACTATATTATGATAATAATATAATTATAAGAAGAAGAAGAAAACAACACATTGGGAGTTTGCCTACATAGTTTGATAATATTAAATTATGAACATATAATATTATAATCATAATAAAAAAGGTAAAGGTTTCCCCTGACATTAAGTCTAATCGTGTCCAACTCTGGTGCTCATCTCCATTTCTAAGCCGAAGAGCCAGCGTTGTCCATAGACACCTCCAAGGTCATGTGGCCAGCATGACTGCATGGAGCACAGTTACCTTCCCGCTGGAGTGGTACCTATTGATCTACTCACATTTGCATGTTTTCGAACTGCTAGGTTGGCAAAAGCTGGGGCTAACAGTGGGAGCTCACCACATTCCCTGAATTCGAACCACCGATGTTTCGGTCAGCAAGTTCAGCAGCTCTGTGGTTTAACCCACTGTGCCACCAGGGGGGCCATATACATACATATATATATAATTATATTAATTTATAATACATAAATATTATAATATACATCTATATTATATAATAATAATAATAATAATAATAATAATTATAATAGAAACACATTGGAAGTTTGCCTACAATAATATTATAATATTATAATATATCTGATAATATAGTATAATAATATTGCAATATAATATAATGATATTAGTACATAATATCATATAAATATTATAATATATTATGATATTACATTATCATCATTATAATAATAATAGAAACACATGGGATGTTTGCCTACTTGATCATTTCTGCTCCGTCCGGTGTTCAATTTCCCTGCCACATCTCCGATCAGCTCCTGGAAAAAGGAAGAAAAGGAGGAATTTTGGGGAATATTTGCGGAAATATTTAGAAAATGTGCAGATTTCTGAACCAACAGTCAGAGGACTAAACAAATAGCATCATGAGGACAGCCTAATAATAATACGGACCTTGAGCCGGCGTTCAACGGTGGTGTGGATGTCTTCATCGGTCTTCACGATCACCAGCTCGCCCTTCGAGATCTCCTCCAGGATCTACCCAGGCGTAAAAAAGGAAAAGCCCTGTTAGCAATTAACAAGACCCGCTTGATCCAGAGTTCAAGGGCCAGCCATGCGTTTCCAAAAAGGACCCTTTGGAACGGGGACAAAGTCTAAACCTGGCCCCAGTAACTAGATGGAATCCCGGGCAGAAAACTCCATTGGAGATGCTTTCCAAGCCCAGGGTCACCTTCCTATAGATCTATATAGGAAGCCCTATAGATGTAGCCGGGAATCGCGTTGGCCTTTTTGGCTGCAGCATCACACTCTTGACTCATGTCAGGAAATATATACCAAATAATAATAATAATAATAATAATAATAGTAATATCCTATATGAATGCAGTCTAGGATTGCACATTGTTTGTGATGACAAACTGAATGAAGAAGGATGGTGAGTACGAATGAGTGAATGAATGGATTAGGAGTGAGTGTGAGAGTATGTGTGATGATGAACTGCATGACGAACGGTGGAGAGTACGAAAGAACTCTTCTACGCTCGCAGACCAAGCCTACAATTGCTCTTGCACCCCGCTTACCTTCTCGAGCCCGCTGAGGATCTTCTCTAGCTCAGACTTGGAGATGATGCCGGCCTTCTCGAGGGCTTTGGCGTAGGCGATGCTGGACTGGACGTCCACCTCGGAGAGGCGCTGGTCGATCTCGATGGAGGAGTTGAGGGCTTCCAGCACGGGGTCGATGGTGCCCACCAGGCGCCCGCTGTACAACTTCTCGCTCTGCGGTGGCGGCAAGAGGGAACATTCCTTCCGGGTTCAGCAAGAACGTGAGCGGCCCCCGGGTCCGGGCCCCAAGCGGGCCGCCACCTTGAACAAGGCCCCACCCAGGGCGTTCAAGATGGCGGCCCACTGCAGGAGGGGGGGAGGCCTGGGCAGGGGGCAACGTCAACAACAACAACAAAAACAACAGGATGCCTCTCCTTCAATTCCCTGAAGATACCAAATAATAACAAGAATAACAATAATATTATCTGCCTCTCCTTCAACTCAACAAGATGCCTCTCCTTGAACTCCCTGCAGATACCTAATAATAATAATAATAATAATAATAATAATAATAATAATAATAATAATAATTTATGTGCCTCTCCTTCAACTCAATAACAACAACAGGATGCCTCTCCTTCAGGTCCCTGAAAATACCTAACAATAATAATAATACAACACAACACAACAGACATCACGATTGTGGAAAAGAAAAAAGTCTGGATTATTGATGTTGCCATACCAGGTGACAGCCGCATTGAGGAAAAACAACAGGAAAAAATCAGCTGCTATCAAGACCTCAAAATTGAACTGCAAAGGCTCTGGCATAAACCAGTCCAAGTGGTCCCAGTGGTCATTGGCACACTGGGTGCCATGCCAAAAGATCTCAGCTGGCATTTGGAAACAATAAACATCGACAAAATCACATTCTGTCAACTGCAAAAGGCCACCTGACTTGGATCTGCATGCATCATTCAAAAATACATCACACAATCCTAGACGCTTGGGAAGTGTTCAACTTGTGATTTTGTGATACGAAATCCAGCATATAGATCTCATTTGCTATGACATACTGTGCTTTTGTGTCAATAATAATATAATATTATCTGCCTCGCCTTCAACTCAACAACAGATGCCTCTCCTTGAACTCCCTGAAGATACCTAATAATAATAATAATAATAATAATAATAATAATAATAATAATAATATAGAAATAATAATAATACCCATCTCTCTTTCAACTCCCTAAGAACCCAATGGTCAGGAAATATGGGAGATACTAAATAATAATAATAATAATAATAATAATAATAATAATCTCCTTGCTGATCCTATACCAAGCCAGAGAACCCGGTGCTGCGGGTTCAGCTTCCCCTTTCCTCCCTTTAGCACATGACTGAGCTGCTGWCCAGTCTCTCCCTGAGAAGCCAAAGGTCAATCCCTTGTCAGTCGGCCTTCATCCCTTGCCTCCTTTCTTCCTTTCCTTAACTTCTTTCCTTCCTTCTCTTTTTCTCACCCCCCCCCCCAATCTTCCTTCCTTCCTCTTTTCTTTTCCTCCCCCTTCCTTCCCTGTCTCCTTTCCTTCCTTCTCACTTCTTTCCTTCCTTCTTTCCCTCACTTCTTTCCTTTCTTGTCTCTCTTTTTCCTTTTTTTCCTTCCGCCCTTGTATCCTTCCTTGCTTTCTTCCTTTTCCTTCCTTCTCTCACTTCTTTTCTTCCATCTCTCTCGCTTTCCTTCCTTCTTTCCCTTCTTTTGTTCTCTCTCTGTTCTTTCCTTCCTTCTCTCATTTCTTTCCTTCCATCTCTCTTTCCTTCCTTCCTTCTTCCTTTTCCTTCCTTCTCTCACTTCTTTCCTTCCATCTCTCCCTCGCTTTCCTTCCTTCTTTCCCTTCTTTCGTTCTCTCTCCTTCTCTCATTTCTTTCTTTCCATCTCTCTCTCTTTCCTTCCTTCCTTCCTTCCTTCCTTCCTTTCCTTCCTTCCTTCCTTCCTTCCATGTCTATCTTTCCTTCCTTCTTTCCCTTCCTTTCCTTCCCTCTCACTTCTTTCCTTCCATCTCTCTGTCCTTCCTTCTTTCCCATCTTGTTTTCTTTCTCTCCCCTTCCTTCTATCTTTTTTCTGACTCTTCTTTCTTTCCTTGCTTCTTCCCTTCTCTGTTCTATTTTTCATTCCTTCCTTCCCTTGCATGCCCTATTTTCCYTCCTTGTTCCTCCTTCCTTCTTCCCCCATTTCTTCTCTTTCATTCCTTCTTTCACTCTTGTCCTTCTGCCTGTCTTTCCTTACTTGTCTCTTTTCCGTCTTCCTTTCCTTTCCTCCCTCCCTTGTCTCCTTTCTCTCTTTCATCCCTTCCTTCCCCCCCCTTTGTTCCTCCCTTCATTGTCTCTTTACTTTCTTTCATTCCTTCTTTCCCTTCTTCCTTCCTTCCTTTGTTTCTTTCCTTCCTTCCTCTTTTTCCTTGGCATAGAAAGGGCTCTGGTTTGCTTTCAAACTGGAGTACCGTGTTGCCAAGGGCTGCCTTTCTCTCCATGCGAGATTTCTATTCATTTAATGCCAGGCATAGACTTGGGAGGCCGATCCCTTGCCTCTCAATGAAGTGGTCAAATCAAATCCAATTAAATTAAAATACTTTTAAAAAATAGTATTTCTGGCTTTTGCAAAAAAAAAAAAGAAAGAGAGAGAGCATTGGAGGAGGCTTGCAATCCATTCAGAAGCTGAATGTTTTGCTTTAGAAGGCTGTAACTAAATAATAATAATAATAATAATAATAATAATAATAATAATAATATAGGCACCCATGAGGATGGGCAGAAATAATAATAATAATAATAATAATAATAATCCCCACCAGGGTCCAGAAAGGCAGGATATAAATATGGTAAATAAATAAAATAATAATAATATATTGTCAAAGGCTTTTGTGGCCAGAATCACTGGGTTGTTGCGAATTTTCCGGGCTATATGGCTATGTTCCAGAAGCATTCTCTTCTGATATTTCACCCACATCTATGGCAGGCATCCTAAGAGGTAGTGAGACCTCACAACAACCCAACAATAATATAGACACCCATGGGGACTGGTAGAAATACTACTACTACTACTACTACTACTAATAATAATAATAATAACAACAACAACACTAATAATATAGACACTAAAGGAGATTGGTTGATATAATGATAATAATTATACTTCTAATAATATAGATATAATAATACCAATACTAATAATAAGAATATAGGCACCCATGGGGATAGGCATCATTGATGTTGCAATCCCAGGCAACAGCAGGATTGAAGAGAAACAACTGGAAATGCTGACACGATATGAGGATTTAAAGATTGAACTACAAAGACTCTGGCACAAATCAGTCAAGGT